TGACATGTCTCAGAATGTCAGAAAGGTGAAGGTTGTGAGATTATAAACCAATTTGTTTGTACATGTGTAAAGTGTCACCAATGCTGTTTCCAGTGTTACAGCTATAGTAAATTGGCTATAAGACTAATTGCAACACTGATATTTAATTCAATTTTTATTTGGCTTAAACAATTATAATAAATAAGTGAAAAAAAAAAAAAAAAAAAAAAAACAACAAAAAAAAAAAACATGATTTGCCTGAACTGGGGTTTGAACTCCAGACCTCTTGCTTCTAAAGCGAGCGTGTAAACCTCTCAACCAAGGGGAGTTACATGTATAACTTAACGGCCTGAAGAATATCACATTATTCTAAATTAATTTCGATATATTTTGTTCACGGTAAAACTGTTGTTTAACACTGAAGTAAATAATCATTTAATTGAATATAAGCATGTATATCTATAAGAATAACACAATATTAGAAATCTTCGACCAATCGGGAACTATTTTTTCGTTACGGAAATTAATGCGTCATTTGACAATCTTTACGCAGTGATCTCCCCTTAATTTTTCGGCGTTAATGTACATATGAAGGGAAGTAGTTTGGACTACTTTCGGCATTTGCAAATAAGAACATCAGGGTCTGAAATTTCGCTACCATTATTTGTTTGGTCTGACGACCCAAACAAATATAAACGTGTTTTTCCTAATTCACTGACTTCAGTTATATTCTAACATTTGGCTTATCTGGATGTAAGTTAATACATGACTATTGTAAGTGACAACAGTTAAAGGGATGGGCAGGGGGGGGGGGGCATTACGACCTGTACAAATACAAGTCCTAGAGTGGCGTATCTATCTGCCCATCATATATAAATTCCAAGTTAAGTGAGCACGAAATTATCGTCCTAAACTATGACCGTATAAGTCGAACACGATAACGTTTACATTAATCGGTCGTACATTATGATACAATGGGTTGTGCAAGATCTTCAATTATTATATTTTGCATTTTATGACAATATAGAAGAAGATAAAGTTTCCTTTTAAAAGGAGAGGCTTGCACAGTTGTGCCTTCATCCCAACCCTTTAAAATTGTTTTTTTTTTTTTTTTGATTTCAATTTATTATCACAATTTTTTTGAATTACGGTATTTGTATATCATAAAGGGTTTATTTAGTTGTTTTCTTTTTTGGAAAAACGAATATTTTTTGTCAAAACGATTTGAAATCTATTCTCTATTGTGTAAAACTAATAAAGAAAATGATCAATCGTAAAAATACTAACTCATACTGAAGGGAAACAAGTGTGCACATTTCATTTCCCCTTTTTCGCAGAGAAATCATTGTTTGCTTTATAGACAAATAAATGCACTAAAATACTTCGTTACGTGATACCAAATTCAATTAATAAGCATGTATCAACTATGTTACACGATCACAAATACGATGCGCTAACGTGGCAAAGTTAATGATATGCATGGGCTATTTTTAGATTACCTCACCATTGAATTGCGTTCAGTAGATCTAAATACAACTCACCCTTTGAAGACGGAATACTACTACAGTCATCCTTCTCTATTGTATAAAACTAATACAGACAAAAACAATTATAAAAGAAACTAACTTTTGCGTCTTGAAAAACAATTGAAACGGAACAATTTCGTTTATAATTCATTACGGTTTAAACCGATAAATCAAGTAAAAATAGAAATCCTAATTATATCAACAAACTGGGATTACCGAAGAAACTAAAATAGCTTAGATTTCCGTAATATTACTTCGTCTGATTCCGCAGTATGACGGAATCGCCCAAATTGTCACGATTGCAATCGGGACTACATCGGCTATTATCATTAATCCGAAGAGTGACGGAAAAGGCCGAAAAGTTGCGATTGGCACGATTGCAGCTGGTTTCCCGTTCAATCATGCACTAACAATTGGAAACAGGAAACCACCTTACCGGAACAAGTTATTCAAAACAAATGGCTTGCAGCCGTGGCTGCAAGCCAAAAAATGGATATATACACGTAAATTCGAGTAGCTTAGTGGTTAGAGTGTTCATATTATAAAGACCCCAGGTTATGATTTTTTTTTCGAATTCAAATCTGCAATTGTGCACATTCCTTGAGTATAATTTATAGTGTCAGAATATATTTTTATGTTGTGTCACGTGAAGTTTATAATGTTTTGCACAATTTAAAGTTAAATTAATGACGATTAAATGTATTTAAATTTTAGTGATTGAACAGATTGAATAGTATTATATTCTGTTTGAAAGTGTGTGTATAGCTAAATGTTCTCAAACAGCATTGTGTGAATAAATTTACGGGGAGCTAAAAACCAGTTCGTTGTAAAAATAAAAAATTAAAAAAAAAACCAGAGACATGCCTATCCAGGATTCGAACCAGTGTCTCTACACTCACAAAGCGAACACTCTACCACTACTCTATTATGCTAAACACATAACACATGAGTGACTGATTAGGTGGTAAAAGATTTAGGCGATGCTTATAAAATATAAGAATTATCGACACCCCTATTTGTCAATATTGATGTAAACAGATAATGAAAGGAATAGCGAATTCGAGCTTGTACACATATAATTCTTAAACTGCAATAAATACATCAATGTTTTGTGTGGCTCTGGTCATCCAACCATCCAGGAGCACCATCATACTTCTGATTGGCTCTTACGCTATGGGGTCATTTACATGTACCATAAAAAGTAACCAAGGTTCCGAGTGAGGAAATTGATTTATTTAAGGAAGAAAAATATAAGTTGATTTTTTATGTCTAATTCTGTTTATAATGCGGTAAAACAATAATTTTATTATAATATATCGAACTCGACTTTTATGTGGAAAAATCGTGGCCTGGGGCGGCATCTCGTGTATTCCCTACGGAAAATTTGCTTACACCCCCATGTAAGACAAGTCGCGTGTTTAAAATGGCGTCATTTACACGCACCTTTTATGAATGACTTACGGCCTCGATCATTTTCTGTAGAGAAAAACCCTCGACGTTGTCTAAAGTCATGATATTTCCATGTTGCATTCTGCGTTTTAAGGTTAAATTAGTCATACCTATTTTATGTAATGCAAATGAATGACAAAGTTTTACCATATATGTTTTATTCATAATGTGAACTTTAAACATGACAATGATTTTTTTATGTTATCTGACAAAATACATGTAACTGGACTTGGTGGTAATAATGTGTCAACAGTTCTACACATAACTCAAAACGCGTGCATGTATATCAATTATAATGAAATTATATAATAATGATGTCGAAATTTTTTATGTGACTAGTTGTCATTATATATAGTTGTCTTAAAGCCAAGTCTGGAGTTCGAATTTGGGAGTCGACTAGAGTAGACGTTTGTACACTTGTAGTATTAAAATGTAAAATGACAAGTTTTGCGTTTTTTACTCCATTATACCACATCCACATATATGTCTCGTCGCTGTGCTATAACTATAACAAATGACATTTATTTTCACGGAAAAAAACACAAACAATATTTTGAAGTTAACCATTTAAGATATGTTTCATTAGTGTGTGTAAACATCATTTGCCGACCAATGAATTCACTCCAATTAAAAAAGCACCCTTCTTTATCGTATAAACATACTATAAACAGACAAATTGTGTCACTTATTTATTAAGTCGAACATTTACTAATTAAGAGTTTGGAATGAAGTCCGCATATGTAAACAGATTTAAGTAGTCCCACGTTATTATGACGCCATGGTATCGGTAAATTTAAAATATTGTTTTTTATACAATCAGGTACCGTTTTTTTGTGTCGACCTTTTGGTGTGAATTATCTTGTATATCGCTTGACATAAAGTTGTATTTGTTAATAGATACAAATAAGTGGATATTTTTTTAATTTTTATGATTTTCGGACATATTTTCAATTAAAATTTTACCGAAATTGACTTTGTTTTCCTTTGTATATCAAATATATACATTCCTTATACAATATCAAAGATTACACACTGTGTCTATGCGAGTTGTAGAACCTTTTTCATTCCGTATGTCCGGTGACATTATGAATACAATAGCCGAGAAGTTCCAATCGCTGCAATCTGTGGTTCCTATCTCGGGGCTTTATTAAAATATGTTAAATGGTAGATTAAAATTAAAATTTGATATTGATTTTTCTTCTTAAATATGTTCATTGTCACTTAACTGAGGCTTAATAACAAATATCTGAAGTTCATTACAATTATTAATCTCTTTATAGTATTTATACTATTGATTATTTATATTGATTGCACTAAAAAATACACGTTACTTGAATAAAATTCAGTATATGATGATGTACTGTGTGCAAATCAGAAAAAAAGTTCTGTTCTGTTCTGCTATATGCCAATCAAATTTGCATTGAAATCACGTGACTATAACATCGGAAGCAATATTACTTTTTTAATGTCACTTGGAACATTGTGGGCGACTTCAAAAAGTCTTTATAAAGTATTGTCAGAGAATGCAAGGGTGTTGTGAAACCTCTGTCATATAGGATGAAAAGCCTTTGTATATGACGAACGAATTTGTATCGATTAAGGAACAATTATTCCTTTAGTTATTTTTAGTTAACGCATTTGTGAGAATTTGATGAAATGACCTAAGGATCTGCGGACTAAGCTATTTGCAAAATCACACTAGGCAACCAGCAAAACGTTTTTCCGGTAATAAAGAGTTAAAAAGTTTCTTGCGGGGGGGGGGGTGAAAAAACTTAATGTTTGTGTCGTTATATATACATGTATATATAACGACACAAACATTAAGTTTTTTTTATCCCGCCCGAAGGAAACTTTTAAACTATAGATTGTACTGCATTCATTTGAAACGAATGAATTAAACCCAATAATTGAAAACATTTTCTTTATTTAATTCTATATAATGTCATATTGTTAAAAACATTTGGCTCATGCTAAAAATCACCTCTTTAGTCTTTGATTTTATTTAGTCAAGTTAATACAATTTTTTAGATACGAACTTCTTTTCAGTGTTGAATGTTTGGTTCAGTGTAAGAAAAATGCAGTTGGAGATTGTGCTAACCAGAAAGCATTCCGGGAACATTTGTTTATGTTTGACCCAGAGAAATGGAAGGTTTCTTATAGATTTATCTGCTCAAATATTGACGGTATGTTACAATCTTCACATTTTGCAATATAATTATTAGGAGAAACAACATTATCATCAAGCTATGGAAAATTGAGTAATAATTGATATAACAAAACATTTTATGAAGGGAAATTGCTCTTGTTAACACATATCGTTATGCTTTTTCTTTATCACTCATAGTTGCTGTTTAACAATTCAATGGTGGGTGTACCGAGAATGAAATATGCTCAGCGAAAAGCATGCCAAACTACAATACATCTGAGAAAGATTTAAAACTTTTATGCAGGTAAATACCTTCAGACAGGTCATTTTTACGTACAGATATATATTGAACCACACTCGATTTTTCTTACATTAGCAGTTTAATAACGATAATTTGGCTATCGCTCGTACCTTTTCCTGAAATAACTATACTCTGTGGTGGTGTAGTGGTAAGATGTTTTGGTGTCTGAAAAAATGTCTTTTATAGTAAGTTGACATTTTTTCTCCCAAGAAGTCGTGATATGCAAATGAAATATATGATGGTGTTAAAATGTGCATGATAGATATTCTAATGCAAGTTATAAACTTACTTATCAAATAGTGGCACCAGGTTCAAACTGGAGTTATATATATTTTTACAACAATGATGTTTTTTTATTTTATTCTTATCAGATTCCCTACACACGAACGCCAATTTTATTTGTTGGAACACATATGCCACTCTTGTTTATGTCGCAAACATCTTGTCTGTCATTTTATATACCAAAACATTCCGACTTTCGTTTGATGCTTATAGTCAAAATGTTTTCTTGTAAATATTTGTTGTAGCTCTTTTGAAGACATACGTAAATGTGTCAGTATGAGTCCAAGTCCAGACGGCAAAACCTGTACTGCTAATGGTGCAAAATTTCAAGAAGATATCCGAAAACTTGGTTATTCAATTTCCATTTGTCAAAACACAGACATAAAGCAGTTATATGCGAAGTACGGTGGGTCTTACAAATGTGTATGTATACTTGTAGTATATCGTCTACGATGACTCATCACAGTTTATAACTTCTGAAGTACAACACCAATTATATATATCAAATGTTTGAGCAAATCTTAAACAAAAAGATAGGTTCTAGATGTACAGGATATGACATCTAGTAATATTTTTTATAATATTAGTCTACAGAATTACCATAATGACAAGTAACAGATATCACGTGATAATATGTGTAATGTATGATATCCCAGAACAATTTTGTTTAATATGTAAACATAACAGTGAGCTTGAGTAAAGAAAATCATGAGGACCGATTTGTGCGATGCTCGAATACCAGATTACTCAGAAATGACAATAGGCTGAGAAGTCAAAAGAAGTTGAGGGATTTGTTTGCTTGGATTTTTTTTCATACTCAAATATAGTATGGCGGTCCGAATGCAAGTGTTACTGCTTGGGGAATTGAACACTATCTGTAATTGGTGTTGTACATCTGAACCATACCCCTTTATACAGTCTCTATAATAATTTTATTTTGTTTAACATTAAATATTTTTATCAAAATACTGGTACTACCTAAATATAAGAACTAAATTGATAGGTTTTACAATTTTGAGAATCATGATTTACAATTCATTCCGGTTTTATTGAACATAAAATTTGTTCAAGACTTTTAGAATCATACAGCAACTAAGTAAGACAGTTTTCATATGCACTACATTTAATAAACATAAATTTTGTTGTTATTAAAACTCAACAATGTTCGCCAAAATAGATACGAGTACATCTTTACTTTTATATTTTGACGATTGTTGAAAAAATACACAACAATTTAAACGTTTAAATGTTTGTGTTTCAGGGAAGCAGCTCTGCGACAGCTAAAGTTAAACTATCCTTCACTGCTTTCAGCCTAGCCACGCTTGCCTGGATCAAAGCCCGCTTCTAAATGTGTTATCTTTCCAAGTTTGTGACAATATATGCAATGTTTTGTTTACATATTTATTAAATGTTTTTCTGATATTATGACACGTAGAAATTCATGTATATTTGTATTTTTCATTTCATGATAGATGTGTATTCCATTTTGTTTCATTATGTATTTATAGTGTCTATAAACTAAGACTTTAAGGTTATATCATTTTACATAAAAATAGTTTCTTTTTTGTCTTTATGTTGACATTGACAGAATGTAATGCATTGTGTATCAGTTGAAAAATGAAATGATGATCGATAAAAACTCGTGGAATTTACCGAGAACCATTATATTGAAGACTTTGCTTATTAACTTTTACGGCTTAGAGCTAAATCAACAATAAACTTGACATCAAGGAACAAAGTCCCCAAATTCGAACAGGTCTATATCAGGATAGAATTATCTTTACATAATTTTCCGCAGCTCATGCTGACTTACATACAAATAAAAGTGAACTTGAATTACCAGAACATTGTAATTCGCAATAAATCAAAATTTTCAGAAATACAGAGCACTATTTTTCACTCGCGTCGGTTATGCGTCGGTCATGGTCGGATGATCACTATGAATTCAATTTCCTTAAAAAAATGTAGGTATACAACATAGCATATATAGTGGTGATGAAACGTCACTGCCGTGGGCGTTACCCTGTATGGTTAGAAATTTCGGGTTTGTAAGTACACTAGTTGGGACTACGTCCCAACTAAAAACCAAAAGGCTTATTGCGTTTGTTAATGATAAGGTTTGTGAATAATTATTACAATATATAAAACTAAATAATACACACCAGCCTATGCTTAGTGTTTGAATAGGATTGCAGTATTTTAAATGAACCGTAACACATCTACTTTGGTAAATCGGCAAACTGTTAATCTGTCTAGTGAATCGACTTTTTGTAAAAATAATTTAAAACAATAAGCCGGTTAAAATTTATTAGTACGTATTTACAAATTAAATGGGTCGCGCGGGTCCATCGCGCCTGACCAATTTAATTTGTAAATACCGTTACGTACTAATAAACTTTAACCTATACATAAATCGGGTAGTACTTTATCTATTATCAAGGAGTAAAGTTTATCGTAGGCCTCTAGATTCATGAAAATTAAAAATAAAATGTATTTAAAAGTAAACCATTGGGAAGCTAACAAAGAAAATAATTTACACATAGCACCCCTTTAATAACCAAAACAAAAAGAGATTAAAATAAGAAAAAATAGCCCTAATTACATTAGGAACATAGTAAAAATGTGGTGATAAATATTGCAAACCAGACCATAATCGCAAACTACATGTTGATTATTATTTGACTCCTAAGTATTTTTACTTTTCTTAAAATCTTTGTACATTTTTTCAAGTTTAATTTTCTCAAAATAGTATGATTCATCTGGAGGCATCCAGCTTTAAGGTAAATAAAATTAATATCTGAGACTTTAAGAAATGCAATTATATTGGATATCTTATCCATTTTATTAAAACAGGTGTCAAGAGAAAAGTACCACAAAAATTGGTTTATATATGTATTATACACATACTGAAAACGTTTATTCTCAGACAATAAGGTATAACGCTTGGAGTTTTGTTTGCTGGATCATGTTTGAAATGATTACTGAATTGATTACAGATACATTTATAGATATAATTTTTATTGAGACAAAGTATTATATACTGCAGTATATTTCAGTGCATTCTTTATGACAAAATGTCAATACTTATTTACTACTTTAAGAAGAAAGAATATTATGATATTATAAGAAAAAACAACATCAACATTTACATGTGTCTTAACATTTGAACATTTATGACACTGTAATATACATGTACATGATTTGGTAATAAATGGACATATGTTGTTTTAAAAGCGAGAAAAGTATAGTACACAAACACATTTTCAAAAGTGTTTTTTTTTCAAAGGAGTTTAATGACTTTAACTTCATGTCAACACATTCATAAGTAAGTAAGAAAAAAAGACGTTTCTTTCACATATTATTTTGAAACTGCTAACTCATAAAGTTCGACAGCTACTTTTTCAATTCGGTCATGGTACTCGACATGTTTATAATTACACTTTGGAGCATCACTGACCCCATACAAAACACCGAATAAACAACCTGCAATTGTACCAGTACTGTCACTGTCACCGCCGTGAAACATGGCTCGATCGCATAATACACTCCATTCACCATCGCAGGCAAGTAATGCGTCATACGCAATCATCCGGTAAAACTCATCCCGTTTAACGACATTATCGATATCTACTGGAAAATGTGGCTTATTTTTACCCTCGTGTATGTTCTTCAATTTCAAATATGTCTTCCACTTGTTTTCAAAATAGCCCCAGTTTTTTATATTTTCTTCCACGAAAATGCCCTTGCACGAATAAACGTATTACTTAGCTAGTTCCAGACATCCAATCAGCCCAACTTCCCATTCGCTTACTGGTTTCTTTTGAACCGCATATAAAGTGAAATGAGCAGAAGCAAGAGAGCCGAGATATCCAGTTGGGTGATGATGGGTCATTCTTCCAGATTCTATGCTAACTTCGATAAGATCCTCAATGTCAGCAGGTCGCGGATATCTCAGTCCAATACACATTGACCTCATGGCCGCCCCACAACCACCCCTCTTCGATACCAAGCTTCCTTGAATGGCTCCAACTTTTCTGCCATATCCATGTAAGTCTCACCAGGGGAACGATTTTTCATATCAGCCATACAGTTTCGGTATTCTTCTGCAAGAAGTGAATAGAGGTTTTCTTTATCTTCACACGTTTTGTGTCTCACAAGAGCGTCTGCAGTTGCTAAATGCATCACCGTGTCATCACTAAATGACATTCAGGTATGCTAACGTCAATATGCTTAAGGTGACAACAGACACTTCCCGTGGTACTCACATAAATGTCATTTAAACCAACTTATTTTAGTAATAATTGTTATTTATTTAATCTTTGTGCATTAAATGTCGTTATGTACTTATATTATCTGGGGAACCGTGTCTCAAATTTTTTCTATCTTTTCTCAAAAAAATATTACGTAACGTCAAACATTTTATGCGACTTTTTTCACCATACATATTACGTAATTAAAGATAATTAAGTCGATGATTGAGCAAACAAAAATCCCTGACACGGTTCCCTCCGTAAATGAATTCCCTTACATGTGCTTTAAACCGCATGTTAATTGCTTAATTATTAAATAGTTATGCCGATTCAAAGTTCTTTAAACCATACCAGCAATATATTTGTCTCTTCCCGTTTGAACTGACCAACACTTCTTACTCGTTTCCATTTTCTTTCGATTCATTCCTTAATTCAGGCTTCCGATAATTACAGTTGTTTTCAAACCAAGTGTCCGTTAAATGTTAATTATTGAAAAACAGAAAGTAGAATTGCTGACATGTGAAAGCAAAAGTAGAATTCCTTGTAATTCTTACGTGACGCATTGAAATGTTTACGTGACGCATTGAAATTTCCATCGGAGGAAATTTAATTTATTTGGGTTCCCAAGTTTATCAATTTTTCTTCATAAACGTTTTCGATTTTAATATGAACAACTAACTGGATTCGTTTCGCAGAACAAATGATTCAGCATTTACAAATTCCAACTCTATATTAAGATAGGAAAATCCGATATTCTATTTTAGTTGCAGCCGCTGGATTTCTGAAAACAAAACAGATGATATTGTATTCAGTATTTTCAAATGGCTTATTTCACTGTTCCGGGCAGGTTTGTTTCTTTTTATTATTTTTTATCAGTTGATCAAACAGATACTTTTTCATATAAATATGTATTTATTTGTTTTTTTAATCTCTTTTCCAAACTTAGATAAAATAGAAATTAATAAAAAAATAACTTAAAATTCTGAGAAAGCACTTGATGGATAAAAGGTTTTCTGATCGCTTATCCTTTGTGACCGACTACCCGCCGTGATTTGATTAAATTTTATCTATAACACAACACACACTTATCTACAAAACGTCTTTTTAGAAAATAGATATAAATTACACTGTACATAATGTTCACTGCATAAGAACTATAACTCACTCTTAATTTTTTATATGCTAAAACTGCTCAAACGTATTTTTACGGAGTATTTCTATCGACACATCCACAAGAATAAATTCATTATTTTTTATAATGAACTTAGTATTGCAAGTGCACATCTAGCATTTATGAAGATTTTGCACTCATACATAAACTATTAAATTACACAATTGTGTTTTTCATTTCAAATTTCCCCTATGTGGGGGACATTGGTAACTCTAAGAAAAAATGCTAGAACTAGAAAAGGTTTTGTTTATTTGGCATGATCATTATCCCAGAATATGTACACGCTGAGATTATGTAATATTTGAAAAAATGACCCCATATCATTTATCAACTTTAACATCACTTAAAACATAATCTGATATCTTACTCTTGATTTAGGAGACAGGAAAGAAATACGATTGAATATGACGCCGAGTTAGTAGAAGTGCTTCTATCATCAGCAAAAGCTGGCCAATGGCAAAACGTCTGGCGGATTCTTGGAGAGCCAGAGATGCCTTTAAGAGACAGACTTTTCAACGTAATGCCAGAAAATCGACGCTGGGGAATATTACACCAGGCAGTTTATTGGAATAATAAAGAAATAATGCAAAAGCTTTTAAGATACCAAGCATGCGATAAGGATATACTTGCTAAACAATGCACATCTGAATGTGGTAGGACGGATCGAATGAACGCTGAGCAGATTGCCCAGGCGTATGGATATACAGGGATGTCGGAAATTCTTTCTGCACATACAAATTCAGTTACATCACAACAGGCACCAACATTTCAGTCTGTTGATAACTATACACAGGGGGAAGGTCTTGGGCTGATAACTGTTTCGCTTGCTGCGTATAAGAAAACATTTCACCCCACAGCAATAGATCCTGACAAATCCGTTATCACGGTTCTTGGCGATATTTTCAACGACATAAATCGATCAGATTGTCGTTGGAAAGAAGTCAGAGATAAAGTTTGCGACGCAGTTTTCGTGGTTTGTGAAGAAAATTATAAGAATATCAAGAAAAGCAAAAGCCGCAATGAATTCTTCAAAGCTATTATAAACACGTACACGATGGAGGAGAACTATATGTACACGTATTTGAATATGGCGTTTCGAAGACAAAGGGAGACGTCATATATACCAACTGGAAATGATCTGTCGCTTGGACCGTACGCTGTCATGTATCAAATGCTTCTGTTATTTTGGCCAGAGTTACAACGAGAAAGAAGAACGACATACAGGAAAATGTTGTTGACGAAAGCGGATTGTGACCAATATGTCAACGGGAAACGGTTTGTTTGGCAGTCAATCGTATCGTCGTCAACTGAAATGAGAAATGCTATTCCTTTCCCGACATGCGGACCAGAAGGAGAACAATCGGTTATTTTCACAATTGATAATAGAGCCAACAGCAAATGGCAGCCGCGAAATATTGAGAAGTACGCCATGTACATGGAGCATGAGAGAACCTACCCAGCAGGTGCCAAGTTTCAAGTTACAGGAAGATCTGTAAAAGGTTCTGACACCCACGTCTCCCTCAAGCTTCTACAAAACTGAAAATGTTTATGATTTTGAATTTAAATCTTCTCTGACATACCTTGGTCAAAAAATCATTTCATTTTACTAAACAATATTTTAAAAGGGAAACTTCTCAACAAGCAATGTTTATTCGTACCAAGACTGATCTCTTAGATATTCAACCGCAAAATTAAAAAACAAATAATGATTTAGATCAGAAGGAATAGATTCTTTCGAGAAAAAATATTGACAGTTAATTATATACTCAAGCAATGAATTCTTCAGTCTCGTAACAAAATATTGAGCAGTAAACACGCATCAAAATTTAATTAAAAGCGCAAGCAGGCACAAAACATTTTTTTAAAAAAGGATAATGTTTATTGCGGAGTGTTGATACAATACTTAATGTGTTACATTTTTATATGATATTTAGTGAGAAAATCTCGTTGAGACGGAAACGCTCTAAAGTTTGGTAAAGTTAGGAATGTTATTTTACCTACGCTAAATGTACAATATTACTCAACTGAAATAGTGAAGCTGTGAGTGCCTACATCAGTGGTTACTGCAAGGTACCTACCATCAATTCCTTATTGTTTACAATTAAAAATGGTAGAAGCTTGAATTTGGAGAACACAATGTCAGAATTATGACGATTGTGTTCTGGACAAATGTGACACCCCCGTGTTATTCTATGAAAAGCAGTGAAAGGTCATTAACCCCAAGAAAAGAAAGCTTACTATTATGTTAATTGAAAAATAAATATTGTCTAAAAACGAAACTGTAAGTTGAATTTTCTCAGCTATATATGTAAAGAAAAGTGCTCAAAGTTGTAAATGGCTATTGTTTTCAGTTGCTTTAAGTTAAATACATATTTTTTATGTTGTGCGTTGTAGTATAGATTATTATCAGTATGCATTAAAATACTTTCCATTGTGCTAAATATTTTGAAAAATTAACCTTGATACAAGCATGTTTTAACAAAGTCAATCAGATATGATATACATGTATCATGTGGTCGATATTCGTGTTTTGTTTATTGTTGCGAATATCGTTTTTAAGTATCGTTTTGTCCTTGTATTTGTATATATATCTTGTATATTTGTCTGTTATCTATGTTTTTCTACAGTCCGATATACAATCCATTATCCCATATCATTCCTATATTATTCCATTTCATCATCTTTTCATTATAACAACTTATTACTTACTTTTCATTTTGACATAATTTGCATACCGGGCCTTAGTTTTTACAAACTTCCCGGAAAAACCACCTCACGCATGCTCACTTTGATATAAATATAAATCTAGGTTTGCGCTCGAAATTGTTATCTTATTCATTAAATTATCAAGGCGTATGTTTTTATTTCCTTTACAGGCATAAACAGCCATTCTCTATAAAGAGAAAAACCATACGACATTGGTGGCCAGTGACTGAAAGAATGACATTGGGCCGTTACTGATAAAGCTCAGAGTTTATTTTACATTGCTCTGTAACTCTGTGAAATTCGAGGACGAATTTCAATATAGCAGGGGAATGTGTCACGGTTCAGAACTGTTCACCTTTTAGGGTTATAGATGTGTAAGCGGCCGGATAGCTCAGTCGGTAGAGCCGCGGTACGGTATTCCGAGGGTTCCGTGTTCGAGTTCCAGTCAGGCTGCACATTTTTCTCACCACATGACAGTTGGCTTCATATATATATATATAGATAGATATAAGTGTGTGTTATTTTAACCTGATATTGCGAATCTTAAAAGAAATGGGTTTTGTAAGTTTATGATTATAAACTTAAGGGTTTTTAGAGGAGTACTTGAGATTACTAATCCTAACAAGTTAACGAAGTATTATATGACAGAGAAAATCATGTAAAAAACGAGTTCAAAAATATATTAAGGCAATTAAGCACTACCCTACTCGGATGTACGTATCCATCTTCAATATTGCAAAGTAAAATGCAAAATGTAATAACTGAATAACTTGCAAAACCCATTATATCATAATGGTACGACCAATTAATGTAAACGTTATCGATCGGTAACTTGCATGCTATGAGTAGTATTACGTGACGTCAGTGCATATTTCAGATACTTTAGTAATACATTTCTCACTTTAATCAGCGACGGCACGGTGCGTAATCGTTCCGGGCTGATTTGGAATATTTTCAAGTTCCTGAACTGATTTGAATTCATTGGCACCGGTTGATTCAAATAAAATGGATTTTTAGCTTGACAAGGTAAGAAAATATAAAAAATAAGCACATTTGCATCCTTTAGTCTTTGAATATTCTACTTGCACGGAACATTGCAATTCTTATATACAACTTTATAAGGTTTGTTTATGGTATTTTATGAGTTGGAATCGGAAAACAAATTTCACATGTCAGTTAAGTAGTAACAAACAGTAGCATAAAATTGCAAAAAATTCATTAATATCTATGATTTTTCAGGTATTTCATGATCACTTACAGAAAAAAAATCATTCCGTGATAATATAATGGTTTTAGTTAAATGTTTTGTCCAATAATGTTTTGTAATAAATTTGTAGTACGCATTTTTATGACAACCCTGTAAGCTTATTTGGGCACCCGATTGATTAATATTAAGGGTAAGCAAGGCAACGGGCTGATTTTAGACTTGGAGCTCACTGCAACTCTCAGTCAATCACCGAATTTCTAATGTTAAACAAAGGCACTTCACTAAAATTTTAAAATCAAGTTATATATACATATTAAAGGAATAGCTTATAGCTGCAAATACCAGTAGTCAAAGTCAAAGCAACATACGTTTATATATAAAACTATCGGCAGATTCATAGTCTTGTCAAAGTGTTGTATTATACGGAGGAATTGGAATATAAATATAAAGTAAGTGTAGCGATGTTCATGTGAAACCAACGTTTATGGATGACCGTAATGTGTTTCTATAGAAAGTATTAAGGCTTCCTTTCATATATGTACATATATAAGAATTTACAATCAATGTATGGAGCGAATTGTCAAGAAAATGAACCTAAAGGTTTTCAATTTCGAGTTATGTTTTCCTACAAATGAATTAGAAAATAGGAAAAAGTCTATTCGGCTCTTCCATATTTCATTGATATTTAAATGTCATAATATTAATATTAACTATCTGATTATGACATTTGCAAATATTTGTTTTAGTGGATTAAGTGAGTGTCAAAAGCAGGCTCAAAACACCAAACAATCTAGAACCGTAATTGTTATAACATATAATAATACTATATATACACGTTTTGATTGACTATTTCTGAAAGGAAATTGCAGCATTAATATTTAGCAACCAATATGTGGAAATATGCTCCAATCTAACGGAAGATCCCATGAATTATAAACAGGAAAATCCTTCAACCTGGATATATCAATATTTTAAGATGAAACAAATCTACCATCACTACTATATAGTTATATCCCAATCCCTCTCTATTAAACAACACTTTGACAGAATTATAAATCTGTCGATAGTTTCATATATAAAAAAGTATGTTGCTTTGACTTTGCAAACTGGCATTTGCAACTTTAAACTAGATTTGAGACATTATTTATTTTAATATTTGATATATAATTTAATATATATTTTTAATGTTTTAATATTTAATTACAATTTGTATACATGTTTATACCAATTGATAGATTAAAGAAAAATGTCCTTGTTAAAAATGAGAATTCGACGATTGATGAAGAGTTGCAGTAAACTCCAAGCGTAAAATCAGCCCGTTGCCTTGTTTTCCCTTAATATGAATCAATCCGGTGCCCTAGAAAATTACAGGGTTGTCAAAAAATACGTATTACAGATTCATTACTGGACAAAACATTTTACTAAAACCCTTAAATTATCGCGGAATGATTTTTTTCTATAGTTGATCATGGAATACTTGAAAAATCATAGATATTAATGACTTTTTGGCAATTTTATGCTACTGTTTGCTACTACTTCACTGACATGTGAAATTGTTTCCGATTCCAACTCATAAAATACCATAAACAAACCTTATAAAGTATATATGAATTCCTCAATCATTGCAATGTTCCGTGCAAGTAGACTATTCAAAGACTTATAGTTGTAAATGTGTTTATTATACCCCCGCACAACAAAGTTGTAAGGGGGGTATACTGGAATCAGCTTGTCCGTCCGGCTGTCCGTCCGTCCGTCGGTTTTTTCTTGTCCGCCCAATAACTTAAGATTCCTTTGACCCTTAGTCTTCATATTTGGCATGGAGGTTAGTCATGATTAGTAGATGACCCCTATTGATTTTGAGGTAACTAGGTCAAAGGTCAAGGTCACAGGGGCCTTGACTTCAAAAAGCTTGTCCGCCAAATAACTTAAGATTCCTTTGACCCTTAGTCTTCATATTTGACATGGAGGTTAGTCATGATTAGTAGATGACCCCTCTTGATTTTGAGGTCACTAGGTCAAAGGTCAAGGTCACAGGGGCATTGACTTCAAAAAGCTTGTCCGCCCAACAACTTAAGATTCCTTTGACCCTTAGTCTTCATATTTGGCATGGAGGTTAGTCATGATTAGTAGATGACCCCTATTGAAATTGAGGTCAAAGGTCAAGGTCACAGGGGCCTTGACTTCAAAAAACTTGTCCGCCCAATAACTTAAGATTCCTTTGACCTACAGTCTTCATATTTGGCATGGAGGTTAGTCGTGATTAGTTGATGACCCCTATTGATTTTGAGGTCACCAGGTCAAAGGTCAAGGTCACAGGGGCCTTGACTTCAAAAAGCTTGTCCGCCCAATAACTTAAGATTCCTTTGACCTACAGTTGTCATATTTGGCATGGAGGTTAGTCGTGATTTGTAGATGACCCCTATTGATTTTGAGGTCACCAGGTCAAAGGTCAAGGTCAAAGGGACTTTGACTTCAAAAACTTTGTCTGTCCAATAACTTTAGATTCCTTTGACCCACAGTCTTCATATTTGGCATGGATGTTGATCATGATTAGTAGATGACCCCTTTTGATTTTGAGGTCACTGGGTCAAAGGTCAAGGTCACAGGGACCTTGAAAAAGAAAAGCTTTTCTTCTCAATTGCTAAAGAATGTCCTGTCCGCAATGTATTGATTTTGACATTTGAAGCATGTAGAATACATAACTTAGCAATGCACTGGCTTAGTAACCTCAGATTTGGCAGGGAGGTTGTCCTTGAGCTCTAAATGGCCACTGTTGATTCTGACAAAGTGGTATGCGGGGGTATTCACGCCATGATAGTAGCAGTTCTAGTTTTATTTATTTTCTTACCTTGTGAAGCTAAAAATCCATTTTATCTGAATCAACCTGTGCCAATAAATCCAAATCAGTTCAGGAACGGGAAAATATTCCAAATCAGCCCGGAACGATTACGCACCGTAATAACAAATAATGATAATTATATTAATCGATAATATAGTAATTTCTTTGAAAACCCCCTGGCAAATAGGTGATCAATAAAACAATAACCCTCTAACAGCAAAGGGATAAAAATTAAACGTTGTAGTTTCGAAAGAAAATATTCAGGTAAGATTTTTCCTCATATTTATGCATGACGACCGTGTGAAAATTAATATAAAGGAACTGCCTTAGTTTCTTACTAGAAATACAACTTTGCTTTGTATATTGTTGTTAGCACGTAAGCGGAAACACAACAATGCGAAAAAATCAAAACGTAACAATGCCTTACAATGCCTAAAAGCAAAAATACGTCAGATGAAAATTCGAAAAAGCGGAAACACAAAGAGACGATTTTCGTATTTTGGAGGCAAAGGATCGACTTTCAATTTCTTTACATAAGTGGCGCAATTATGTAGATTTTACGAGTATTAATAGAAATAAGGACAACTGTCAATCTTATTTCATTTCCGAACCGCAACATATGACAGATATTATTAATCTATGTTTATTTTTGGTAACAGGGTGTTACCGAAGGTCAGTCAATTTTTTAATTTCAAAAGAATGTTTGATCATTCCAAACAAAAGATTTTATAAAATTCTAATGTTAATCCATCTGATCCAGGACTTTTATTGTTATTTAGATGTTTAATGCTATTGTAAATTCGAGTTCAGTAAGTTTGCTATCTAGAGATGTCTGTTCTATATCACTTACTTTTGGTATAGTTAGATTCATAACCATAAAATCATATTTAGTTGTTTTTTGTTCAACCTCTTTATAAAGAGCGTATCTGTTCAACCTCTTTATAAAGATTTTTATAGAAGCGCTTCTGCTCTCCTATGTTATTTCATTTTTATGCTCCCCGAAAAGATTTCGGGGGAGCATATAGTCGCCGCCTTGTCTGTCCGTCCGTCCGTCCGTCCGTCCGCACTCACAGGACAGTAATTATGTGGCTAGAGGGACAATAGGTAACTGTTCTTTCTCTTTGATGTCATTCATTCCGTAATGCTTTTATGTGGCTATTTTCTTTTGTGTGGCTAAAAGAACAATAGAGAGAACAATAGAGTAGCCACATTATTACTCTCCTGTTAGAACTTCCGTCTTTCCGTCCGTCCGAGTAAACATTTTAGGTATATGAGCTAACTAACGGTACACTGGGACAAAAGATAACAAAGAATTTCATTCCGTAAATAATAGTTAGCTCATAAGAAAACAATAGTTAGCCCACAAGGAAACAAAAGAAAAGAACAATAGAAATAGCTCATAAACCTGAAAAATTGGTACGTCCGTCCGTCCGTCCCTTTTTCTTGTCCGGGACATAACTTTGAAACAACAAGAGGTATCAGCATGAAACTTTGTAGGTAGATATATCTCATTGAGTAGGTGTGCAGTGCAGAAGAACCGTACATCTGCCTTGCCTAATTTTTGAATTATTCCCCTTTGTTTATTTTTACACTTTGAAGTTTGTCCGGGATATTACTCTAAAAGTATAAGAGGTATCAACATGAAACTTTGTAGGTAGATAGAGCTCATTGAGTACGTGTGCAGTGCACAAAAACCGTAACTCTGCCTTGCCTAATTTTTGAATTACCCCCCTTTGTTTATTTTACACTTTGAAGTTCGTCCGGGACATAACTCTAAAAGTATAAGAGGTATCAACATGAAACTTTGTAGGTAGATAGAGCTTATTGAGTAGGTGCGCAGTGCACAAGAACCGTAACTCTGCCTTGCCTAATTTTTGAATTACCCCCCTTTGTTTATTTTACACTTTGAAATTTGTCCGGGAAATATTTTTGAAACAACAAGAGGTATCAACATGAAATTTTGTAGGTAGATATATCTCATTGAGTAGGTGTACAGTGCACAAGAACCGTAACTCTGCCTTGTCTAATTTTGGAATTATCCCCCTTTGTTTATTTCACACTTTGAACTTTGTCCAGGACATAACTCTAAAACTATAATAGGTATCAACATGAAACTTTGTAGGTAGATAGATCTCATTGAGTAGGTGTGCAGTGAACAAGAACCTTGCCTAATTTTTGAATTATCCCCCTTTGTTTATTTTTACACTTTGAACTTTGTCCGGGACTTAACTCTAAATGTATTAGAGATATCAACATGAAACTTTGTAGGTAGATAGATCTCATTGAGTAAGTTTGCAGTGCACAAGAACTGTAACACTGTCTTGCCTACTTTTGGAGTTATTGCCCTTTGTTCATTTTGACACTTTGAACTTTGTCCGGGACATTACTGTAAAATTTTAAGAGATATCAACATGAAACTTTGTAGATAGATAGGTCTCATTGGGTGAAAGTGCAGTGCTTAAGAATCATTACTCTGCCTTGCCTTATTTTGAAGTAATTGCCCTTTGTTTACTTTTACTTTTTGACTTTTGTCCGTGACATAACTTTAAAACTAACAGAGATATCAACATGAAACTTTGTAGGTAGCTTGATATAATTGGATATAACTGCAATGCTTAAAGAACCTAAACAAAGCCTGGTCTAATTTTGGACTTATTGCCCTTTGTTCATTTTTACACTTTGAATTTTACCCGGTACATAACTCTGATATCATCGGGAAACTTTATAGATAGATAGATCTCACTGAATAGAAGTGCAGTGCAAAAAAAAACATAACTCCGCCTTGCCTAATTTTGGAGTTTTTTGCCCTTTGTTCATTTTTTTTATACTTTCCTGTGTCCAGAACCTTCTCGGGGAGCATCACCCGGTTCAACCGGTTCGTGTGTTTTATGATTATTAGATGTTATTTTAACCTGATATTGCCAATATTTAAAAAAAAAGATTTTGTGAGTTTATGATTATATACTTTAGGATTTTTAGATGAATACTGGAGATAACTAGTCCTAACACGTTAACAGAGTATTATACGATAGTGAAAATCATGTAAAACACGAGTTAAAAAAATATAGTGAGGCACCCCCCCCCCCCCTTGCTTCATCTATACTAACTCCATTAAAACACATTATGTAGGGCGTTCGTTGCCAAAATTCCAGACATGTTAAGTGTTCCTTTTAAAAAATTCAAGAACCCTTCATGAACTTTCTAGTGATGCCTGAAAAGTAAAAATTAATAACGTTGAAGAATTAACAATTTTGTTTCAAACATATCGTTGTTTATTTCTCTCGCTCTCTCTCTCTCTCTAAAATAAAAATACGGCGCTTCCTATAGATACTTTATAAATTAATAAATTTTCAAAATAGAAAATGAATATAGAATGGAAGTTAAGACCAAAAGCTTCAAGTATATTAAAAACATATTTATTTATACTGAAGATACCTTATTAAAGATTGCACAGTGTGTTGCGGTCAAGTACTTTCTTAATTTCGGAAAGGAAATCTCGGTGGCCGCTTTAAAATCCTATATTTTTCAAATACTCGCATAGTTTGTTTTTTTTTAAATTTGTGACAATATATTTTTCAATGATAACAATACAAGTATAGGCTGGTTTTTAGATTATGAATAAAAATACAATAAAAAATGCTAGACATGAACGTTCGCATTTTCAAAAGTAGTTTTCAAAATTAACTCTTTACGTTTGCATTTTCAAAGGAAGCTTTTAAAAGGCACACTTTACATGTAGGGAATTTTGGCAACAAACGCCCTCCATAGTATGTATATGTACACTATTTACTTACACTATATATAGTGAGTTATGTTATTGTTTGGTTTTATTAACCTGCCAACTACATACTGATTACACGGTCGATGCACACAGTATATTAATCTTCGGTAGATGGTCGGTAAGTTCCGTGAGATGTACAGTCATGATGTACGCTGTACGATGGAATTTAATCTAATTTGTATCTCTAAACTAAGCGTACTCAGCGTTATAGCGCGATAGGGTAAGTCATGAGTTTATAATCATCTTAGTGCCGTGTTTTAAGTTCGAGGCCGCGTTGGTCCATGTTTTTTTCTTATTAATACTTTCAACATTATTGAATCTATATATGATTATTTTATGTTGTTCGTTTTGTTTAATTATGTACGTCTTACTTAATTTTGTTATGTATATGCTCTTTTTAAATACAAGTTTTTTAAGAATTCATTTTTAAAATTAAAACGGATTAAAATCAATAAATGTCTTTTCAATGCCGTAAAACACACTACAAATCTGTTCCATTAAAATATACTGCAAAAATAAAGAAAGAGTACTAAAACAATGGAAACGGTAAGGATCGAACTACAGACCTCTCTTTTATCAGGCATTCTCTTTACCGACTGTCCTATTGTGAATTAACGAAAACCTTCACATCAAGCTGGCGAGACTTTTAATCCATGACTAATATACTCCACATTAATTCTCTTATAAACTACAGTGGGATCGAATATTTAAATGAGCCTATAATGTATTCATAATTGACAGGTCAATAAAATCAGACTAAACACGACGTCATTGCATATTTCAGATACTTTAGTGTATATCAGCGACGCTTAAGATACCAATACAATCAAATCATTGATGGATATAAAAGCAATTACGGAATGGATTAACTTGTAATACAAACGTAAATTAAAGAAAGACTTCGTATTGTTGTTTCCAAATAAATATTCAGGTAAGTTTTTTCCTCCTATTCTATGGACAAGGGAAGTAAGTCGCATTGTAATAAATTATTAGATCTATGTAAAGCCACATCAGTTAGAATGGTCGTTTAGGCTAGAAGCATCAAAATGGCGCTAGCGTAATCGATTATTCATTGTTAAATGAAAAATACTTTGATTTGATTGAGAAAAAAAAAATATTATGCCATTAAATGAATTTAGTGACTTTGCACTTTTGACATTCAATTTTTTTTATGTCAAATGGATTTAACTACTCCAAACTTATGTTAAATGGAATCACGAAAATAAAAAGTTATTTAGCACAGGCGTTATAGAAAATCTGTCTGATATATATTCCTTATTACAGAGAAATGAAGATGTAAATATTAACATTGAGTCCTTTACCACATTGATTACAAAAGTTGCAGATCCATTATTTGTTAAACATGTCTCATCATCACGTAAATTTGAAAAATATGAAGTAGAAGATAGCAGTAAATGATTTGATTCCGAGTGTAAAGAAGCAAAAAAATTGTACAGGAACGCATAAGTTATTTATAATGATACACACAGAGATGTTGACAGGTTAGAATTATGTAGTTTAAAACAAAATTATAAAATCATTGTCAAAACGAAACAGAGAAAATATGAATTTAAAAGATGTCAAGAATTTGAGTCACTTAAAAGATCTAAACCAAGAGATTTCTGGCGTTACTTTCATAATAAAAGAAACTGTCTTAGACCGGATGTACCTTTGGAAGACTTTAAATTCCATTTTGAATCCATATTTTCTGATGTTAATCATATACCACATACTGATCGAAGCGAAAGAATTAAACGAAAATATTAGTTCATCCAGTATTGTGTTATACATGATAATTCAATTCACTTTTTCAATGTAATATTATATGTATCCTCCCACATTCGAACTACGTCCACAACATACTTTCGACCGGCCCCGGAAAATAAATAAAACAAGGAAGTTACGTATCGCTTCCGGTAGTCCGCGCACATATTTGTTTACGGTAACAGCAGAAATGTCAACAATGTAATAGCAGCCTATATGGATATTAGAAAGGTTTGTTTTGTCCCATTTGTTTAAAATATGACGATTTTATCGATTTTGACCAATCCCAAAATTAACGATTGAAAAAATCATTTTTTATATAAAATTTCCACATACAACTTTTACTACTTGCGTCTGCTAAATTATGCTTGTACCAGGGCCCAAAAACCACCACCATACCATTTGTGTAGTACAATGCCAATAATTAATAGCGTGACAAAATGCATCACTGTCCTTACACCAATATTTTGTAATTTGCTAATTGGAACTGAATTGATACATATACTCATGTATACATACCCTATTCATTTTTCCTTATATAGCCCAAAGTGGATGTCAGGGGTCCATACAGGTTCTATGATGCTGAAAGATTGACTAAGGCCTATATTGTTGTCAAGGAAAATGCAATGAGTATTAGAAAAGCAAGTGCTCTTTATGGTGTGCCCAAAACTACATTAATTGACAGGCTAAGTGGTAAGGTTCATGTTGACTGTGTAACCACAGGAGCTCCAACATTATTTGCTCAAGAACAAGAGGCATTGTAAGCAAGGCATATAAAACTATGGCTGAGGTAGGCTATGGTTACAGCAGACAAGAAACTATTAACTTGGCATCAGACTTTGCTGTCAGCTTAGCTTAAGGGACAGAAATCATCCTTTAACTGATAGGTGGTTATATCAGTTTATTCGTAGGTGGCCTGAACTGAACATTAAGAAGCCAAGGAGTCTAGACATGGCCAGAGCCAGAAGTGCAACAAGGGAGGCTATTGACTGTTATTTTGATGCACTTAACAACATAATGGTGAAGAACCATCTTGTGGCTAAACCCCATGTAATGTATAATGTAGATGAGAAGGGACTGAACTCAGAGCATAAAAATCTGGAAACAAAGTGATCCCTCGGAAGCATTAATCACAACAAAATAACAAGAGAATTGCAGACTCGGTTTGATTGAGTCTGTACATAAAGGATAATGAATATGTGCAACATCCCTCACGCCCCCTAGCACCGGCTTGAGCGGAACTCAATTCTCAACACGTAATAGTGCTGGCATCAATGATCCCGAAGGACCAGAAAAATATAACAACACTGAAGTGAAGTACGGGCAACTTTTTACAGCTGCCACTAAAGCCACCAAAGATTGTGTCTGGAAAACACCACAAAGTTCAGGCAGTAACATCAGGCAGGTCTAAAACAGTTACAGTAATAGGATGTGAAAATGCTGTAGGGCAACAGGTTCCACCTTATTTTGTCTTTCCTGATGCATGAATGATAGATTCGCTATTGGAAGGGGCAACACCTGGGTCTAGTGCAACTGTTACACAGTCTGGCTGGTCAAAAACGGAGGTATTCTCTACATACATGAAAAACCATCTCTTGAAATACTTACCACAAAGATCTCCTGAAGAACCAGTTCTGGTATTATATGATGGACATAAGAGCCATGTTGCTTTAGATTTAATTCAGTGGGCTAAGGTAGAAAATATCATCTTGTTTGTGTTACCTCCCCATTGCAGCCACCTCCTTCAACCTCTTGATGTCAGCTACTTTGGGCCTTTTGAAATAGCACGGAATGCAGCCTGTCATCGTCACATGAGAGAATCTGGTGGAAGTATTGTTACCAGGTATGAAGTTGCCCGTCTTGCTTGTAAAATCTATGCATCTACTTTGACACAAAGCAATATACAATCGGCATTTAAGCGATGTGGTGTTTTCCCATTCAATAGAAATGCTGTATCAGATTTACAGGTGGCACCGTCAACTACATTTGATAGGGATCAATCTGGTCAAGATGAAAGATTGAAAAATGGCAATGTTGGGTCTAGCGGTATGTCTGATGCTGAGCATTTCCTGGAGAAACGAGAAGGACAAATTCTTGAAAATGTGCAGAAGGCCAAAACAAAGAGAAATACACTAAGTAAAATTGTTGGTTGAAAACCAATAACTTAAGATAACATTGTTGAACAAATCATTGCCCATAATGAGAAATATGACCAAAGCAAAAAAGCAAACACATAACCAAAAACAAAGCTAAAAGTTCAAATCAGAAATCCCTCAAACCTGGAACATCTGGAGTTTCAGTTAACAAAAAAAAGAAAACTTAATCCTCCAATTGAAAATAGTTGTGAAAGCTCAGATGAAGAAAAATGTTGAAGAAAATGAGAAGTGCATTGTATGCAAAATATTCAGCCCAGACATAAGTAAGCGGCCATATGTGATAATTGTGAATTGGGGACAGTGTGAGAAATGTTCAGGTTGGGTTCACCTGTCATTTTGTACACCTGTCAAGGCCATCAGGCGGGGAGACAACTTTTTGTGTCCCTCCTGTAGTGAAATATAACTGTAGACTAACTATAACCATGTAAATACGTTTTGTTGACAGTTAATTATAATTCAAAACAGTTTGTTTAAAAAGTTTATAAAGTTTTTTAAAATGTCAGTTAATATGGACACAAACTTTTTTCCTAAAGTATACTATTACACAAGGTCAAGGTCAAAGTGGTCGAAATTCGGTTGGATAAAGCCCGATTAACACATGTGAGGGAGCTTCCATTTTATATGAAATGTAAACATTATCAGTGCAGGTAGGAATTATATACTATTTCAGTTATTACAGGTTTGAATATGTTTTATAGATTATGCATTAAAATCAGATATATTTTTCTTAATTAAAAACCTAAAACCGGAAGTGTGGTAAAGTGGACGAAGTTTGGTTGTACCGGGATATTATTCATTGTTAAACACTAGAAACTGTACAGTTTACGTGTAATAAAATATGTTCTGTTCTGTTCCTATTTACACATGAAGGCGGTATGAAAGTTATTATACAGGAACTGTCACTTGAAATACAACTTTGCTATGGTATGTAAATTTTTGTAAGCGCATCAATCAATCTGCGCATGCTTAACTACAACGCCAAGATAAGAAAATGCAAAAAAATAATATTTTTTATGGTCGTTTTTTTCAGTAGAAAATGCTAAATATTTAGGGTGTCAAATGTTTTAATAGAAATTGTATGAACACCTTGAACTAGACCAGTTGAGGTTAACCACTATTTAATGAGGTAGATTTACCTAATTTGTTGACATAAATGTGTTATATGGTTCATAACCTTTATTATCTAACCCCCCGTTCACACACAACCGCCGCTTCTACTACGATCAAAGCGTGACCGATCGTGGCAAATCGCAGGAGGAACGTAGTGGAGTCTACATAAGCGCGGCATGATCGCGGCAGCGTGTTCATGATCGGCAAGCTCTACGCTCTCGCCACGTTTATTTTTAACGTGCTCAAAACAAGCGTAGCGGGAACGTGGTCAGCAACAATCGGGGAAAAGTCGTAAAAGGAGCGTGGTAGAAGCGCCGTTATCGTACAAGCAGCGCGGAAGCATCGTGGATAGTTCTTCGTGGTCGTAGTAAAAGCACAGTAAAAGCGTTGTACAGCCGGGAACATACCGAGTACGCTTCTACAACTTTTCCACTATGCACTTACTACGTTTCCACTACGATCTCTCTACGTTCATGACGATCCTACGAAGACCTATCATGACCTTACGACGATCATACTATGACCTGTCAGATAGCAGTTTGTTTTATAGCGCTGCTATTTGACCAATCATAATCTGAGGAAGTGGTGTCTTCCATTCGGAGTCCTCTCATCAGTGTATCATATTGTCCAAACTGGAGCCTCCTATCTGCAGATATCCATGACCGTAACCAATATCTTCTTAGCCTCCTTCTGCGCCTCCGCCTGTTAACAATCCTTGCAATTTCAATTTCAAAAATAATATTGTTCTGGATGAAGTAAAGCCAGATGAATCAGATCAGCATTTATACGTCCGTTCATGTTTGAAGTTTGGAAGTAAATGAAAAATAACTTTTGAAACCCAAGATATATATATCATCGCCAAAATCGTACCAGAAGCGTACTTCAAGCGTGATATGATCGGCACAGTCGTAGCGATATCGTCGTATAGTCTTCTAGTTCTGCGTAGCGTCGTTGTGCGAGCTTGAATGTCGTAGCGGCAGCGTAGTATAAACGAAGTAAACGCGGCCGATGGTCGGCATCGGTCAGCGAATCATCGAGTAGAAGCGTGTCAGCCGCGCGTTTGCCGTGCAAACATCGTTGTACAGTCGTAATGAAGATCAAAATTTGCCAAATTGTCCGATTTCGACGCCGATTGGCGCCGATCCAATACTTTTTCAGATCGTGGCTTGATCAGCATGATCGTCCTGAAGTCGCAGCTCTGTGTGTACGGGGGGTAATCAACTACTAGAGTATCTGGTATTTCTTCTTCCTGATATTTTATTTTAATATCTCATGTATCCACCATAAGAAAATGTGTTATGTAGCAATCAATTGTTTTCATAATGACTTAGAAGTGTGCAAACAGATGACACTCTTGTATCTACAAAAAAGGATACTAACAGTGACAAATGCGTGGCTTATAGCAGCAATATTTTTTATAAACAATACAATACATTTTATTCCGCTTTAAACTTACAAAGTTTATAGCATTAACAACAACATAAATACATGAAAAATGGTTTACACTGGGTATATGGATACTGTTGGAAATTCATAATTACAATAACGTACATACGAGACTCTATTTTCAATTGTTCATAGAGAAAAAAGATACAATCATAATAAGTATTTGGCTGACATTTTAATTACTCATACAAAAGATGTATAAATAAAGTACGAGACTTAATTTGCAATTAAATATATAACGACAATTAACACGTCATAAATTTGATAACCTGTCATTTCGTAACTTTGATACAAAGTAAATATATTTTGCTAAGTTAGTAACATAAATTTTAGCATTTGTTGACAGTATTGTTTTTAAATTTCTTCAGTGTTGGCCATCTGCAAAAATATCTTTTAAAGTACCGTATTTCATTCATAGATCTCTGTATAACAGACACGAAGAAGATATTAAGATTCTTAAACTCCCATTGGAGAGCATATATATATATTTGTCCATGTATTTTATTTACCATATATGATAAGTTACAATTCAATTCAATTTAGCAATTATTGAAAACAATGTCTTCAACCTCTGTGGATGGCGCTGGCGAGTTTGTCTCCAGTGCCAAATGAGTTCCTCAATAAGTGATTATTACTGAGAAATGAATGGCAAGATTTTTACCAAGTAGTTTAATCAAAAGCTTAAGCACACGGTATCGTGATTTGCGAACGAAATCAAGTACAAAAAGTTTAATCTAACATCCTACAGCGCCATAACATACGCTTCAACTAAACATACTCAGGACTCGAATGCTAGCAATAACATAGACGATTTTCGTTGTGTCTATTGTGTCATGTATAGCACAAATTCTTAACAAAATGTTCTAAACATGAGATGTGTATTTTATGTGCATGACATCGTAAGAATTTTTCGTGCATTGAAAAAAAGACATTATGTAAAAGAATGATTGAAAGACAAGCGCGCTACCACTTCAATACAACGTCTTTATACTTTCCATACATATTGGACTTACCTTTTCCAGAGTGCACTGATCCATGTTATATTTTCAACGGTTCCGAGATAAATAGTACAATAAATAATTATTATGTCATTGTTATGCAAGGTACTTGCATCGAAAACTTTGAATAACATATGCATGTTAACCAGTTTTACCTTCTTCGAATAGCCTTTTTAAAGATTAGAGCCGTGTCATGACAAAACCAACATAGTGGCAATTCGACCAGCATAGATTCAGACTAGCCTGCGCATCGGTGCTGTTCGACAAGTAGAGAAACTGATAGCAATGAGCATGAATCCTGATCAGACTGCGCGGATGCGCAGGCTGGTCTGGATCCATACTGGTCGCAAACCCACTATGTCGGTTTTGTCATGGCGCGGCTTATTTTGTTTTTGTTTGCATTTGAACGTAAGATTAAGTGTTTCGCTCAAATTGTAACGACACTTTAGTATTTCAGTACTTGTGAAGACTTGTTTTATTTCCTAGCGAAACCACCATACAGGCACATGCATGCGTGCGTGCGTGGGTGTTAAAATGGTTCTTGGAGTGGCCAGTATATTGCTGAATAATGTATTGTCATGCCACTGACATATGGTAATTCTTCTGAGCTATTATATCATCTTGTAAGACTAAATTTATGTTCAAATGAATTTTATAGAAAACAACTATTTGTTTTATTAATATTAACATTGTCTTGTTTGTGATTTATTTTCTCGTTGACTGATATGTTTGCTTTTCTTTTTTTTTCAGACATGAAGTACTGGATAATATTAGCGGGCTGTTTGGGTAAGAAGAAATATGGGAATATATAATATTTTGTTCTAGTTATTGTTCTATTTGTAAGAGAAGCTAAGTTTATTTTATATTTGTAGGTATTTGTTTCTATTATTATATTCTTTATTTACTTCTGTGACTTATATTGACAATTTGATAGTTTGTAGTAGTTTTGTTACCATACTTCTCTTATGTAATGTAAATATGTCATATCCACCGATGAAAATGTACTCGTATTTGATTTTGCCAATAAAATATTTGACTTGACTTTGACTTTGTTAAAAAAATGTCGCAAGAAAAGACAATTTCTTTCACAATGACTTCGCACTCTCACCTTATATTTTATATATATATTTAAGCTTTGATACAAGTCACAAAGTCCGCTGGTGTATGCAGTGAAGACACTATTAAACAGTCGTGGCAAAAATGTGACAATACATATTTTGTGTCAGACGTTAAAGACATGGCGTCGATGAAGAAAATGTGCAGCAAGTAAGTAGGTTTAGTAAAACATAACAGATAAAATGAAATAAAATAGTTCGGCAATACGTGAGTTCCGATCGCATATTTAGAAGACATATTTGTAAGAACTGTATTTTGAAATTATTTTATTTTCAAAAGTACTGTAGTCTAAATTGTTAAAAAATATTATTTTGGTAGATCATTATATTGAGTATGACATGCTCAGTTACTTCAAACATATGTTTATCCAAAGAAACCTAAAATATACTCAGTATCATTTGGAATAGATTTAACAAATTGTCTTAAAGACTCTTTAACATATAGTGCAATACATTTTGTTTTTCTCATGACTATGGCATTTTCAGAAACACGAAATTTTCAATGTCAACCATATAGGAAGCGTACGTTTCTTGTGTACACACATAATTATGTAAAATTATAAAACCGACAAAGGATACTGAAGCCGTATAACAAACCCGATGATTTTAAGATACACAATTGAACGCGATATATTTCTATTTTCTCACTTTCATTAATAGAGATTGAGATAATGTTTTTTAGAAAATTTAGCACCCGTTCAGCACAGTTCTCTACCTGTCGTTCAGCAAAACCCTAAAATATTAGATTACATCTTCTGGTGTCTAGTAACCGCCTCCGTGGTCGAGGGGTTAGAGTCGATGACTTCTAATCCAGTTACCTCTCTGGCGTGGGTTCGATCCCCGGGAGATGATTTGGTAGTTTAGCGCGGAGGAAGGTAGTCTAGTACTGGTGTAACTCTCCAGGAACGATGGTTAGGAAACTACCCGCCTATATGACTGAAATACTGTTGAGAAAAGGCGTAAACTGAAGCAAACAAACAAACAAACATCTGGTGTCTAGCCTTAACAAACATGAAGAGGCAATGTTTTGGCGTTTAAAACAACAAGGACGACTTCAATAAGTTTTTATTCACAGTTATCGGAGAATGCCGAGTATTTGTAAAACCTCCATTAATTTCTAATCCTCGACATTTTCTTCAAAGTTCGGTAGTCGGCGATATGTTTGGAATACCAGACTCTATTGAAAGCGTAAACAACATTTGTCCTATTCGTTTGGCTTCTGGGTATTGTAAAATAACATTAAATGAAAAGTCGTTAATATATATGACGGACGATTCGTATCGATTTACAAACAACTGTTCCTTCAGTTACATGTACAAAAATGGCGGAATGGCATTTTACATTTTAAGCCCTACAGCAACCGGCAAAAAAGTTTATTTTGCAAAGTTATATACAAGTTTGCTTCTTTAAAAAGAAGCATGGAGTGGTCTTTTTACAGCGGTGGGCAATTTGTTTAATTCGAAAATAGTTGGATGTTTTTTGTATGTATAAAAGCACAATGAGTGTTTATAAATTACAATTAATTACAAAAATCGAATTATTATAATTATTGAATGTTGTTTGAACAATGAAAGTATGTTTTACACGTTTTATTGTTTTAAACTTTTTTTTATTGTTTTAAAAGTTTATATGCCGGAGAAATGAACATTTTCTTGATACATAAATTAAAGTGTGGGTTACATCATACTTTATACAAAATCATACTTTAACTTAAGTGTTATTTTCAGAACAGAATCTTTATAGTTCGATTGTGTACGAATCTTTAAGCGTATAGAACTACTTTCGAATCCGTTACTGGAACGAACCAACTGAGCTACGAGTGTAAAGTTTCTGGCTCAAGAAAACAATCACCCATTGATTTTTTGATTTTATAAAGTCAAGTTAATACAACTTTTTAGATACTGATATATCGAAGTTCTTCTTTTCAGTGTTGAATGTTTGGTTCAGTGTAAGAAAAATGCAGTTGGAGATTGTGCAAGCCAGGAAGAATTTCGTGAACATTTGTTTATGTTTGATCCAGAGAAATGGAAGGTTTATTATAGATTTACATGCTCCAATTTTGACGGTATGTTAAAATCTTCAAATTTTCAAAATTTTGTTAATGTAGACCACTCATTATGGGCACTATAAGAAATTGCGAAATTGACAACATAGAACAATTATATGCTTTTATGGTCACCTGTACGCAAAATTTAAATGAAATTTACCTTGTGGTTTAGGGGCGTGGAAAGTAACTTGCACTTCTCAGTACCGTCCATGAACAAACTCAATCAAATTTACAATTTTGTCGTTTTGTACTTTCTTTAGGAATACTTTATTCCTCTCTATTTTAACCCAGTTTCTTTCTTCCAATATGAAAGGACTGTCTACTATATCTAATGCAACTGTTAATTGTCTTAGTGACGATACTGTTGATGTAAATGATGTTTAGCTAAATTATACCTGTTACTGTATGCTGATGATACCATTTATTAGCTGAAAACAAATCAGATCTACATAATGTTTTGATGTCATGTTTGGTTATTGTAAGGTATGGGATCTGAATGTAAATGAAGATAAGACGAAAATAGTTGTTTTTAATTCATGTAAGTATAGAAACCAGTACTTTAACTTTACTTACAATGGTAAACAGCTGGAAACTGTAGAAAGTTTCACATGTTTAGGTGAACTATTTTATTTCAATGATAAATTTGGTAAAACCAAGGAAAAACATGTTGACCAGGCTAGAAAAGCTATGTTTTCTGTCAATTAAAAAGCTAGAAAGTTGTATAGTTGTATTTACCCATATCTATTCTATTACATTTGTTTATTACTATGGTTGTACCTATTTTATTATATGGTTGTGAGGTTGTGAGGTTTACGGTATAGAAAATGTACAAATTCTTGAACGACTACAATTACGTTTTTGTAAATTCATACTTAATTTGAAAAGATTTACACCCAATTGTATGATATATGGTGAAACTGGACTTTAGAAACTGCAGGTTAAAACAAGAATATTGTATTACTGGAGTAAGTTAATTACCTCAAAAAATGATAAAATATGTAAAAAATTGTATAATACAGTTTCATTCTTTACATGTTAATAATGTTATGATCTCTCCTTGGATCTCATTTGTTAAAAATACTCTTGATGAGCTAGGGTTATCAAACTAATTTTTATAGTCAATATGTTGATCATTTGAATACTTTTAAAGCTATCGTGAAACATAGATTAAAAGGCTAGTTATTACAGATCTTGAAAGGAACCATAAATGAATCTCCTAAATGTCTAATTTATCGTGTGTATTAGAAAGATTTTTGTTTCGAGAAATATTTCGATATATTTTCTTTCAATCTTTGTAAAATACTTTGTAAGTTCCGAACTATGAACCACCAATTACCTATAGAAAAAGGTAGACATTTACATATTGAATGAAACCAAAGAATATGTCGTTTATGTCAAACACAGTCTCTTTGGGATAAATGACATTACTTATTTGAATGTAACTTTTTAAATTTTCTTCGTAAAAAGTTTATTGGTTCAAAATTAGAATTAGAATTTTTAATGAATAGCTTTGATCATTCAACTTTATTAAAACTTGCATAATTCTACAAGATTATTATTTTAAAATTCATTTTTTCATTGATTTTTCTCAATCTGTATGAGTGTATTAACATATAAATAATATAGATAGCATTTATACATTGTATATGATAAATCGTGTCCGAAAAGGTTAAATGAAATACATTGTATCTATATGTGTTATATGTGTTTGTCAAATTGTTCTCATTGTTATATAATTTTATGTGTATATGTTTTGTTTATCACTTTGATTTGTTTTGAATAAAGCAGCTGACCTCCAGAAGATAGCAGAAAAACTGCCGTCTTGTTAATATTTCAAAATCCCCCCTCAAAACATTATATAGTTGAAAAAAATCGAAATGTCGCTTCAAAATGTTCATATATAGAGGATATTTGTTTGTTTTGCATGTAAGATTGAAATATAATTTCACTGAGTGAACACCAGATGCAATATTTTCACGAGTGGCGTAGCCACGAGTGAAAATATAATAGCTGGTGTTCACGAATGAAATATATTTCAATCTTATATGCAAAACAAATAAATTTTCTTTTTATTTCATTCTTTTTAAGTGATTTTAAGTATTTTTTTACTGATTTTGCCGCGTAACGTCGCGCATTCTCCTTTGTGACGTCATCACATCATGACGTCACATCATCAATTTTGAAATATAGTTCTGTTAAATTTCTCTAATTTTGTTACATTTATAACATGATGTATGGTGACATCGACTTTCTTTTCCTAAAGAAGCAAAATTTACGTATGAAGGCATTTATTTCTGCCTGATATTCCATTTAGTTATGATTTTCTTTTCATCCGCATTCAGATATAGTCTGGCTACAGTGAAAATTATATTTTATAAATTTCACTAGTGGTTTATCAGAATATAATAATCTGATATATTACAATAAAACACTGGAAAGCATGAAATAATTTAACTTTATTGCTCTGAAAACAAACAGTTCGCCTTTCCACCAACGAGAAAACCTTCTTTTATTACACCACAGAATTCTTTCATCCGGGTTTTTTTTTCTAGTATCACGTGATCGTACAGGACAATATCGCTACCTGTGCTTCGGAACGCACGGAATCCGGGATTTTATCAAACATATAGGGATACGAATAACTGCTTTTGTTTTTATATTTGTAGTAATTCATGGCACTAAAAATTATAATTGATTGATTATTTCATATATATGATGACCAATTTATCGATTTAACCTTTAGATTTAAATGTGATATGGGCCTACTTAATAGGCCTCGGCCCGGTGAATTTTCGTACTATTTGTTCTATAGTAAATCAGTCAAATTTGAGGCTTAATTCTGGATTCCACTGTTCTTAATGAATTATATACTGTCTTCAACTATAAACATTAACACTATCTAAGTCCAATGAGGCCCAAAATATAATAGGTTAGCCATCTACTTTTTTCAGAAATCTTCATTCTGTTGTAACACTGTTTAAATTCACCACTTTAAAAACTCCTGACAGCTGGTGGGTAGTACATCTTTAATCCTTCCACCAACAAATGAGTTCCTGGAGAATACACAAAAAACAACTTTTAAAGTCATCATATAACACACAAAAACTACACACATGCAATAAATACACTTTAATTATGACCAATCTAACTAGAGATGACTTAAATTGGGCCATTTCAAAATTTTAAAGAACTACTTTCTAGACTACAATGGGTTCGGTCTAATTCCGTACCGGGTTGAGACCAATAAAGAAAATTGATGACCGATCCCGGGCATACCGGATACCGGGTTTTTACGGATCATTGTTGTGACACGTGACCGCGTTAAAGTGAATTATCTTCTCCTACTACGTTAGTAACGTGGTACATTATGGAAAAGAAAACCCGATAATTAACGCTTTTGTTAACATTCTTTCTTGAATTACGGTGTCAGTAATGATGGATTTATACAATAAACCTAACTAGATCAGTATTTACCATTTACTTGAAATATGATTTCACTTTTTCAGTTTACCATCTGGAGGTCAGTGGCTTTAATAACTCTTAATCATTTTATGAAGGAATATTGCTCTTGTAAACACATATCATATTTTTTCTTCTTTATCGTTTATAGATGTTATGCAACAATTTAATGGTGGTTGTTCACAGAATGACATATGCTCAGGGAAAAACATTACAAACTTCAATACATCTGAGAGAGATTTGAAAATTTTGTGCAGGTAAACACCTTCAGACAACATATATACACTCCGAGGCACTTATAACCGACACTTAAATTTTTCGGTATGAATTTGTTATTTGTGAACGGATTTTGTTCAACTTTTGAACATACAAAATTCAACATATTATACTTACTTTGTTAGAATTTTATTTACAATTCATTGACAAGAAAATAGAGAAAATAACAAAACAATAATGTTATTGCAAAATGAAAAATCACAAAATGGCTGTAAAAATCGTAACAAAATGAAGTCTCTGAATCCCACTAAATATGTATGATACTTTGTGTGTCCTCCCATTGCTATAACACAGTGTAAACACCTGTCTTATTGAAATGACGTAGTATCTCATGAAGACTTGGGGATATTTTGCATAAGGCATTGTCTTGTAGACCTCTACCAAGATTGTTCAAATTATAGCCCTGGGGTCCAAATCGGCCCCGCCCCGGGGGTCATTGATTTTCACTATATGTACATATAATAAAAACTTAAACTACCTTCTTGTCTGAAGGTACTAGGCTTAGAGGTTTGATATTTGATATGTGTTATTATCTATAGATACTCTACCAAAGTTGTTCAAATTTTGCCTCAGGCCCACCCTGGGGGTCATAGGTTTTCCTTTTATGTATATAGTAAAAACTTAAAAAATCATCTTCTCTAAATTCACAAAGGCTAGAGGTTAGATATTTAGCATGAAACATTCTGTAGTGAACCTTTAGCAAGATTGTACAAATTATAGCCCTGGGGTCAAAATTGGCCCCGCCCCGGGGGTCATTGATTTTCAATATGTACATATAGTAAAAAATCAAAAAATCTTATTGTCTGAAGGTACAAGGCTTAGAGCTTTAATATTTGTTATATGATATCATCTATAGGTAGTCTACCAAAGTTGTTCAAACTTTGCCTCTAGAGTCAAAATTAGCCCCGCCCCGGGGGTCATAGGTTTTCCTTATATGTATATAGTAAAAACTTAAAAAAACATCTTCTCTAAATTGACAAAGGCTTCTTGTCTGAAGGTACAAGGCTTAGAGCTTTGATATTTCGTATATGATATCATCTATAGGTACTCTACCAAAGTTGTTCAAATTTTACCTCTAGAGTCAAAACTAGCCCCGCCCAGGGCGTCATAGGTTTTCCTTAGATGTTTATAGTAAAAACTTTAAAAAGTCATCTTCTCTAATTGACAAAGGCTAGAGTTTAGACATTTTGAATTAAACATTGTGTAGTGAACCTCTTGCAAGATTATTCAAATTAAAGCCCTGGGGTCAAAATTGGCCCCGCACCTGGGATTCATTGATTTTCAGTCACTATGTCATAAAGTAAAAAATTGAAAATCTTATTGTCTGAAGGTACTAATCTGATAATAACAGGTAGGTAAGTGATCTATGCATTATGGCAATCTGTATGTAAACAAAAAATGAGTTCCTACATTACTATTTAGTGTTGTATTTATGTGGTGGCATGGCATTTTTTACAAATGCAATCTTGTTTCTATTTTCTTATCGATAAATTGTAAATATAATTATAATTAGTAGGTATGATATGTTGAATTTTGTATGGTCCAAATTTGAACAAAATCCGTTAACAAATAACCTATTTATACTTAAAAATGTAAGTGCCGGTTTATAAGTGCCTCTGAATGTATTTAAGCGTATCGTGATGAAAGCTTGCCAGCCTTAATTTCTTTCCATGAGCAGTTCATAACGATAATTTGGTTTCGCTCGTGCTTTTTCCTGAAATAACTATTGTCTGTGGTGCAGTGGTAAGATTTTTGTAGTTAGCAGACATTTTTTTCTTTCAAGAAATCGTGATATGTAAAGGTAAAGTATGATTGTTTTAAAAATGAGGAAAAAAGATATTTTAATGCAAGTTATAAATTTGCTAAGAAAAGTTTTGCACCAGTTTTAAACCGTTAAAGCAAAACAGTATTATTACGGAAACGTTAAAGATCCTCCATTTCATGCCCTTTAATGTTTCTGTATGTTTTATGTTTTTACAACTTGTCTGTACTTTATTAATCCCTACTGATGTTTTTATGCCCCCGAAGGGTGGCACATTTAAATCGAACGGTCCGCCTGTCAGTCTGGCCGTCAGTCCGTCTGTCAGTCAGTCCGTCTCGCTTTATACATTTAGACAGTGGTGGTCGTGTCCGCTCTGAAACTTCATTATGCATGGAAGGATTTTAATTTTTCTTTCATATATGAAATAACCATTAGTGTATGGTGTGTCGCGGTCAAGACTCAGGCTTCTACCATAAGGTCAAGGTCACTGTGGGGGTTCACATTTTGTCAATTTTAATCTTATATAAATATAGAAGGTGGTGGTCGTGTCCGCTCTGAAACGTCAGTATGCATGAAAGGATTTTAATTTTTCTTTAAAATGGGATATAACCATAGATGTATGGTGTGTCGCAATTAAGAATCAGGTTTCTACCACTAAGGTCAAGGTCACTGTAGGGGTTCAAACTTTGTCATTTTTAACGTTATATAAATATAGAAGGTGGTGGTCGTGTCCGCTCTGAAACTTCAGTATTTATGGAAGGATTTAAATTTTCTTTCATATATGAAATAACCATAGATATATGGTGTGTCGCGGACAAGAATCAGGTTTCTACCACTAAGGTCCGCTCTGAAACTTCAGTATACATGGAAGGATTGTATTTTTTTTCACATATGAAATAACCATAGATGTATGGAGTGTCGCAAACAAGACTCTACCACTAAGGTCAATGAAGGTGGTGGTCGTGTCCGCTCTGAAACATCAGTATTCATTGAAGGGTTTTTAGTGTTTTTTTTCACATATGAAATAACCATAGATATATGGTGTGTCGCGAACAAGACTCGGGTTTCTATGAGTTAGGTCAAGGTCACTGTGGGGCTTCAAACTTTGTCATTTTTTATGTGATAAAAATATAGATGATCGTGTCCACTCAGAAACTTCAGTATTCATGAAAGGATTGTAATTTTTCTTTCACATATTAATTTGCCATAGATGTATGGTGTGTCGCGAACAAGACCAGGGTTTCTACAACTAAGGCCAAGGTGACTGTGGAGGTTCAAACTTTGTCATTTGTTATGTTATATGAATATAGAAGGCGGTGGTCGTGTCCGCTTTGAAAGAAGGGATTTTAATTTTTCTTTCATATATGAAATAATTATAGATGTATGATGTGTCGTGAACAAGACTCTTCTGTGACTTAGTTCAAGGTCACTATGGGGGTTCAAACTTTGTCAATTTTGATGTTAAAGGGATATTCAGGCAAAATAATGACAAAAATATCAAAATGATCTCATGTACTCAAATCACGCTAAATGACATTTCTTAAAGTTCCAGCATGAATTTATGTTTAAATTCTACATATTTTGGGTTTGAAGCGTAAATATATCTACTTATATTGAACATAATTTAGACGCAAATAAAATCACCGAATCGTTTTAAAACAAGTCATGTGACTTGAATAAACTCTTGAAGTTACAATAACAGATTTTATGGATATTGTAGGATTGAAACAAGTCTATGTCATTCATTTGACTTGTTCTTTAACGTTTCCTGAGTTCACTGTGACAACTATTTTGAAATCCTAGCGCTCTAACCTGACCCACGCGGGTCAAGTTAGGAAACAACAATTTAATTCTTTATATGGAGAAAAAATGTGTTTCTTTGACTGTCTGATGTATTCATTTTGAGGGCATTTACAGAATAATGAATGAAAACTCCAAAACTAAGAAATGAAAATTTCGCCTGTGTCTCCCTTTAACATACATATAGGCAGAGATGGTGGTGTCTCTGAAACTAATATGCATGAAATGATTATATTTTTTATTTCACATATGAAATTATCATAAATGTATGATGTGTTGCCCTTAAGGCCCGTGTTCCTACACCTTAGTTTAAGGTCACTGCTGAGGTTTAAACTTTTTCAATGTTTATGTTATATACAGTGTCCGTTCTGTAACTTCCATATACATGAAAGTTTCAATTTTTATTAAAAGATATCAAGTCACATTAGATGGACAATGTGTTGTGAACAAGACACAGGTTTCCTTGTCTCACTTAAAGGTCACTGCTAGTTTTCGAACTTTGTCAATTTTTACCACCACACTTGACATGTAATAGGTGGTTTATTACTAGAATCATTCGGGGGCACTTGTCACTTTCTGTGACAGCTTTTGTTTTTATTTAAGTCTTATCAGATTCCCTTAACACAAACACCAGTTTTATTTGTTGGAAGACACATGCCATTTTGTTTGTGTCGCAAACACCTTGTCTGTCATTTTGTATACCAAAACATTCCGACTTTCATTTGATGCTTTGAGTCAAAATGTTTTGACTATAGCATTTCTTTCTTTAATAACTTGAAAAAACATGATTGTTCAAAGTTTTTGTTATTCATTATTTTAATAACATAGAACATTGAGGAATTTCTAATAATCCTAAATCGTTTGGGGTCTTAGGCTTACCTTAATCAACATTACAAAACACATGATAATTTAAATCGTGCTATAGAAATTATACTTAAGATAAATAGATATTTGAAACATATTGACTGTTTAGATTTCAGTTATTTTTTTATTCTCTTCTTCATATTTGATGATGTAACTGTGTTTTGATGTCATTTGTTTTTAGCTGATTATCATGACTCATTATAATTAAAACAACAATATTTTTAAAAGAATATAGATCTATAGCCTACTTTTATAACAAGTTTCTTCACATATATTTTTTTTTCTTTTTTGTATATTTCAACTAATCAAATCCTAGTAACAGGTATTTTGTTTTATTTTTAATTTATATCTTTCTGTTTAGCTGTTATATAAGTTACATTCTATGAAATTCTTCTCCTGAGTGTTACGTTTATATATGAATTACATGTAGAATTACTAGCATCACTATGTATTACCATGTAGGATTATCTGTACGGTTTGATACAGATGCAAACAGCATAAACAGATAGTTAAACACAATCTAAAGAGAAAAAACTCACACATTACCCTAATGTCTATTTAAATTTCCACATCAAACTTTTCAAAATTCTACCAGTAATAAATGACTTAATTCTGAACACTTTTAATAAACAAAATGCCGCAATGTAATCTCATAATTTTCCGCAGTAAAAAGTAAAGTATCTCTATGTTGTTGTAAACAATGATCAGTATTTCAAGAACAAAATTAACATAAAGCTCAATATCTATAACTCATTATTAATACTATTTAACCAAACAATACTTTACTAAATACTATATATGTATACAAATATGAACGTGTTTTTTTGTATGTACGTATGCGTGTGATGTGCATTTTTGAACGGGCGCGCGCGGGCACTGTGTGCGTGCGTGTGTGCGTGCGTGCGTGTGTGTGCGTGTGTGTGGTGAGTGCGTGCGTGTGTGCGTTGGTGCGTGCGTGTGTGTGAGTAAGTGTTTGTGTGAAAACGACACGTCATGCATAATTATAATCCAAGATAGATAAATTACAAACATAACAAACATAACTTTAGCCAATTTTATCCACCCATTCTTCAGTAACAGGGACATGTTCTCTCATCCTTGCATTTTTCCTTCCTCTTATTTCCTTCTATACTTTCCTTTTACCTTTCTTATCTCATTAAATGTTTCACTTTTTGTCAAAGAATTCGGTATTGCTTCTAAAAACGGCATCTATGTAAACATTACTATGTCCATGATGGTTATATTTCTCTTTCTATCATTTATTTCATCAATAACATAAATATGATAAACTAAACACACTCACCATCATGGGCTCGTACAAATATTTCGGGTTTTTTCCACTTTTCACACATATTATCTTTCTGTTGGGCGTAAGTACTCTGTCACACTCGAACATTTGCTCTTTATACATTGAGATCATGAGATCCTCAAATATTAAGGTCAAAATACACCTGCCTCTAAAGAAATTTACTTTCAACCACTCACGCGTATATGATAATAAATGCTTTACATACAATGCATTGATATTTATTTCTCTTATGACTCTTTGTACATGGCTCGCCATTCTTTTGTTACAATCTGGAGATATCCATGAAAACCCTGGTCCTGTTTCCACAAGTTCTACTGAATCAGACGTTCTTTCGAGTTTCAGATATCATCTTTCCTTAGTCCATTTAAATGTTCAAAGTGTACGTAATAAACTTGACCTGCTCTTTACTGAACTCAAAGAGTTTGACATACTCGCTTTCTCGGAAACATGGCTTAACGACTCGGTATCGTCTGAGGACCTCTTGCTTTTGTCATTTCACAAACCCGAAAGGAAAGATCGTACATTTGATTCTCATGGTGGAGTTATGTTATATGTTAAAAGCAACTTGCATTATAAAAGGAGATATGATTTAGAACTAAACCGTGTAGAAAATATTTGGATAGAGCTCAGACTCGAAAATAACAAACGTGTCCTGATCGGTCTTTTCTATCGCGCTCCTAACTCCAATACACTTTACAATAATGATATTGAAGACTCTATCTCATTAGCTGTTGACACGGATATTAATGATATCATTGTTACAGGCGATTTTAACTATGACGCATTTAATACTAACACAAATAGAAAAATTCTTTCAATTTGTCAACAATTCAATATGGAACAAATAATTGAAGAATCAACTCACTTCACAGAATCGAGTCAGTCATTGATCGATCTCATTTTTGTTTCAAATAAAAATACTATTATCAAATCTGGAGTAGGCGAACACATCCTTGACCAAGAACAGCGTTACCATGTTCCAGTTTTTTGTCTTTTTAAATTCCGTAAACCAAAACAGCCATGCTTTCAACGCACTATATGGGAATACAATCGTGGTGATTACGTCAAGCTTCGAAATGATTTTAACAGTTTCCAATGGGAAGAATGTTTCGATTTCAATATCAGTAAATACGCAGACAACGTTTCAAATCAAATTTTAATAATCTCAAAATATAATATACCAAATAAGGATATATATGTAAGACCTCTAGATGCCCCATGGATAACAAATACTATCAGGTCAAATATTCGTAGACGTAAACGATTGTACAGAAAAGCCAAATTAACTCAATCCAATATGCACTTGGTGAAATTTAAACAATTAAGAAATCAAATAGTATCTCAGATTAAAGAGGCGAAAGCTATTTATTACTCTAAATTATCGGACAAACTAAAACAGGAATCGTTATCTTCAAAAGACTGGTGGAAAATATTAAAATCTTTTATCTCACCTACACAGACAACGTCAATTCCCCCATTACAAAATCAAAACACCCAGGAAATTGTATTCTCTGAAGACCAAAAGGCAAACCTATTGAACGAGTATTTCTTAAATCAAACCTATATTGATAATTCTGACTCAAATGTTCCTGACCTAGGCCCACAAACAACGTCCACTGTTATTAACGATCTTTTACTAACTGCATCTGAAACTGAAGATATTCTTAAATCTCTTAAAGTCGACAAAGCATCTGGACCAGATGGTATTAGTAATAAAATTTTGCGTGAAGCCGCAAAAGAACTCTCTATTCCTTTAACTAATCTGTTTAATCAGTCTCTATCTTGCTGTAAAGTACCAGCCTCTTGGAAGGAAGCCCATGTTACTGCTATCTTTAAAAAAGGTGATGCATCTCTCCCTTCTAATTATAGACCAATTTCACTGCTCAACACTATGGAAAAAGTTTTTGAACGACTGATCTTTAAGCATTTATTTAATCATTTGAACGCGAATAGAATTCTTACGCCTGTGCAATCTGGGTTTATACCGGGGATTCAACTGTAAATCAACTTGTTTATATTTATGACATACTTTGCAAAGCACTTGATGACGGTCTCGAAGCTCGAGTTATATTCTTCGACATAAGCAAGGCATTCGATAAAGTCTGGCACAAAGGCATTCTCTGTAAATTAAAATATTATGGTGTATCTGGAAACATATTTAAATGGTTTCAGGATTATTTAAGCTGCAGACGTCAGTGTGTTGTTCTAAGAAATGCCAAATCTTCTTGGGGTGTTCTCTCAGCTGGTGTTCCACAAGGTTCGATCCTTGGTCCTTTACTTTTTCTCATCTACATAAATGACATAGTCCAAGATCTTCAATCCAATGTTAATCTTTTTGCTGATGATACCAGTCTCTATCTTGTTATTGAAAACCCACAAACTGCAGCACAACAATTACAATCAGATATTGAAATAATAGCTGCATGGGCAGAAAAATGGCTTGTCACTTTCAATCCGTCTAAATCAGAATCCCTTATTGTCTCTAGAAAAAGAAATTCATATCACCAACCACTTCAAATGCTTAATCAAACTATACCTGAAGTAAAAGATCATAAACACTTAGGATTATTTTTGTCTCACAATTGCCTGTGGCATTCACATATAGAATATATTAATGAAAAAGCATGGAAACGGGTGAACATAATGAGAAAACTGAAATTCATGCTAGATCGTAAATCTCTTGAAATTATTTATATATCGTTTATCCGACCAATCCTTGAATATGCGGATGTGGTATGGGGAAACGCATTTCAGTATGAACTTGACCTCTTAGATAAAATACAAAATGAATGTGCTAGAATAGTGTCTGGTGCAACAAGACTAGTTTCAATTGAAAACTTAAATAATGAAGTAAATTGGGAAACATTAGAACAAAGACGTTATAAACATAGATTAACATTATTCTATAAAATCAAACATGGCATTGCACCAGAATACTTGTCAGAACCAATACCGTATCAAACAAACACTCGTTATAACCTTAGAAATTCAAACGACACTATTGGTATTTCAGCAAGGACATCTTTATACTTTAGTTCTTTTTTCCCATCTTCAATTCGTGAATGGAACAACTTGCCCCTTAACATAAGGAATCTACCAACCCTTTCAATGTTTAAAAATTATCTATTACGTGATAAGAAAACTACACCAAAATACTTTTATTTTGGTGATAGAAAACTTCAAATTCTTCACACCAGGTTACGCACAAAATGTAGCTCCCTAAATTATCATTTATTTCTTAAAAATATATCACCATCGCCATTATGTGAGTGTGGTCAAATGGAAACTAACTTTCATTACTTCTTCGAATGCAATCGCTTTCGTACATGTAGAGAAAAATTATTGGGAAATCTAAATAATTTCGATATTACCCTCAATACCCTACTTTTTGGCAACCCGGACATCTCAGATACTGATAATGCCAATATCTTTAAACATGTTCATACTTTTATCTCAGAATCAAAGCGATTTCTCTGAACTTAAAGTGAAACAGTGAAGCAATCTTTCTTTTCTCTTTCTTTCTTTTTTCTTCCTATTTTATTATTTGTTTTCCTTTCTTCTTTTTTCGTTATTATAATTTCTAATTCTTATCCCGATGATTACTTATAAATATAACGTTTACTTCGTCACAAATATTTACATTCCACTTTTTTGATAATTGTACAAAATATTAGAAAATCGACTCATTATAAAGTTACACTAAAAGGAGAAGAATTTTATAAGACTTAGTCTTTCATTCTCATCCTTTTCTTTGAATATATTATATATTTGTATTCTGATTGTATTGTATTATGTATATCATGTAAATATTCGGGAAATAAATATGTTTAAACTAAAATGTTTTTCTTGAAAATATTTGAGCCGCGCCATGACAAAACCAACATAATGGGTTTGCGACCAGCATGGATCCAGACCAGCCTGCGCATCAGCGCAGTCTGATCAGGATCCATGCTGTTCGCTATCAGTTTGTTTACTTGTTATAGGGTCTGTAAGCGAACAGCATGGATCCGGATCAGACTGCGCGGATGCGCAGGCTGGTCTGGATACATGCTGGTCGCAAACCCATTATGTTGATTCTGTCATGACGCGGCTCATTTGTTGTAGCTCTTTGGAAGCCACGCGTAAATGTGTCAGTATGAGTCCAAGTCCAGACGGCAAAACTTGTACTGCAGATGGTGCACGATTTCAAGAAGATATCCGAAAACTTGGTTATTCAATTTCCATTTGTGAAAACACAGACATAAAGCAGTTATATACAAAGTACGGTGGACCTTACAAATGTGTATGTATACTTGTAGTATCGTCTACGATGACTCATCACAGTTTACCATTTCTGAAGTACAACACCAATATTATATCAAATATAATATATAAGCAAATATTAATGTGTTTAGATGATTCATTTCTTGAATCCATAAAGATAAGTATTAGATTTACAGGATATGACATGTACTTCTTATAATATTAGTCTACAGAATTCCCACGATGATAAGAAACAGATATTACATGATGATGTGTTTCCAGAACAATTTTGGCTAATGTGTAAACATATCAGTGAGCTTGAGTAAAGAAGATCATGGGGACCGTTTGTGTAATGCTCAAAGAATACTAGATCAATCAGAATATGACTAGACTGAGAAGTCAAAATATATCTAGGGATTTCTTTGCTCGGATTTTTTTCTCATAAAAATAGAATGACGGTCCGAATGCACGTGTTACTGTTGTAGAATTGCACACTTTATCTGTAATTGGTGTTGTACATCTGAAACCTTATCATCTGTTAAGGCCCTTTTATACAGTCTTTATAATTATTTTATTTTGTTTAACAGTTAACGAAAAACTGGTACTATCTAGATATAAGATCTAAATTGATAGTCTTAACAATTTCGAGAATCATAATTTACAATTCATGCTGGTTTTATTAAACTTAAAATGTGTTCAAGACTGTAGAATCATACGGCAACTAAAAAAGACTGTTTTCATCTACACTACATTTAATAAAAATAAATTTGATTGTAATTAAAACTCAACAATGTTCGTCAAACTAGATACGAGTACATCTTTACTTTTATATTTTGACGAGTGTTTAAAAAATACACAACAATTTAAACGTTAAAATGTTTGTGTTTCAGGGAAGCAGCTCTGCGACAGCTAAAGTTAAACTATCCTTCACTGCTTTCAGCCTAGCCATGCTTACCTGGATCAAAACCCGCTTCTAAATGTGTTATCTTTCCAAGTTTGTGACAATATATGCAATGTTTTGTTTACATATTTATTAAATGTTTTTCCTGATATTATAACACGTAGAAATATATTTGTATTTTACATTTTATGATAGATTTGTATTCCATTTTGTATTATTACGTATTTATAGTGTCTATAAACTAAGACTGTATAAAAATAGTTTCTTTTTTGTCTTTATGTTGACATTGACACAATGTAATGCATTGTGTATCAGTTGAAAAATGAAACTGATGATCGATAAAAACTCGTGGAATTTACCAAGAACCATTATAATTAAAGACTTTGCTTATTAACTTTTACGGCTTAAAGCTAAATCAACAATAAACTTGACATCAAGGAACAAAGTCCCTAAATTATAACGTATACGTACATAACTAATTTTGTACACAAAACCAGTTATTTTTGTACATTCATAATGTATGCTCAGTTGATTTGAGCGATATATAATTGGTGTTTTAAAGTTTGAATGTCAGTTTCTAGCGAGAAACTTTTCGTGACAAACCTTTTTAAATTCAAACTTATGTCCAAAATTATTTTGTGAAGCAAAAATTGATAAGATTTCAAAATCTGCGTTTATTGTTTGGATGAATATAATTCATTTTAATATGTTACCTAAAACGTTTTGTTTTGTTTTCGATGGTACTTGATAGTTTACTTCACTGTGATTGCAAATAGGCACAGGTTTCCAAAATTCTTCTCACTTTAATAACACAACAATCAAATCGAAAGAATTCAAACGGTTTATTATTTTTATTTTTGTTTTTTGTTTTGCACAAGTCACCCAAACATACAAGCGGTCTCGCATATTACATTCCAGTGTTTAGTTGTTATATGTAAAAGTTTTTTTGAATATAATATGGCACCATTCTGAACTTATTGCTTTAACAATAATGCATTTACACCATTAACTACTTATATATATATAAACATTTTAAACCCAGATGATTATAGAGTATGAATGACCATAAATTTATAATATGGGCCTCTACTTTCATTAAAACACAAAAATTGGGGCGCATGCTTTCTGTGACCATGTGACTTGCCCTTTACAATAAATCATCTTGCATTTAGATGTGGTCAAAATCGTTACGTAGATTGCTACGTTAATAAATGAAAATCTTTTTGTACTTTCCATAATATTATCAAAAGAGGACCAAGTGGGATATTTCTTTACCATGAACACAGAGTCATATTCAAAGTAAAACCTTACATGTAGGATGTACTTAATTTTTACAAAGTGGCTTACATATGTTTTTATAAAATTTCTACTTTAAGAATTATTTATTGTATTATGAAACTTCTACTTTAAGTAGATTTTAATATGTATATACAGTTTCTGGTTTTTGGAACTACAACTCAACCGTGAAATAGCAATTCATTACTTTTTAGCGACCATGTACTTCTGTATCAACTGTTGGTTTGACTTTCTATTGCAACCATTGACTAAAACCTAATAAACAGATAAAAAAGTTTGCTTAAAAAACAATCGATAGTTTGGTTTTTCTGGGACGGCAAATCACATTCGAAAGCCATTACAACTATTTACCTCAAAAGTAATTTAAATTTACACGATTCTGCAGTACTTTTAATAATTTGTTCAATTTGCTTCGTTTGATTTTATTGTGCAACAAATATGTGAATGTATTGATGTAAAATTATCACAAAAATTGAATGCATAGCCTCTAAATATAAAGTGATACAACATCTAGTGAGTGAGGAAAAAGCGTGAAAGAGAAAAAATGAAGACGTGGATTGGTTTGTAAGAAATAATTATAGGTGCAAAGTCTCTAACACCCCAGCACAATCTGAATTAGTATTACATCCTCTCATGATCCTCAAACCTTATATAAGTCATGAAATGTCAACAAAAAAAGTATAAGAGACCAACTTACTATTTGAAAAAATTAAAGCTATAGAATTTCTTATTGGAATTTTGTCAGAGTTTTTTTGGTTTTTAAATTTACAAACCAACCGTGAAATAGCAACAAATTACTTTTTCTTGGCAACCAGTAACTAATAATTATAACAACTGTTGATTTTACAATTAGTGACTTTCAGGGCAAGTTTTGACATTCCTTATCAACAAATGATTTCAGTAGTATCCATTATCTGTCCACAGCAAATATTTCACCCAGATTTTGTATTTGTGACATTCTCTCGTGTGTAGTATTACGACTATTAAAATAGAGTGTGTGCACACTTTTAGACGCAGATTTGAATTTGATAGGAGTTGACCTAGATTTGTGACCTAATACCAGTTATTAATATAAATTTTTCTCACTGAGGTTTTCGTGATTTGCCCTTAGAAATCATGGCCATTTGTTTTTATTGTAAATTTAATTTGTTTTCATAATTCCCATTTCACAACTCATCCCCCCATTTTCTCAAATTTTGGTTGGGTTTTCTTTTAAAAAGTCTTTGAATTTTCTTACCCCCCCAAAAACCATTTAAAAATTTAAAAGTTAGAAGTGTCAGCAACAAACAAGGGTAAGTGGATTCCTTAAAGAGCACCCACATGGGAAATTATTACTGTTTCGAAAAGTGTACAAAATAAGACCAGTTGATACGACGAAAGATGGAATTTTAAAGCGAAAAAGCACTTTTTGTCTAGATTGGCATCGTTTGAGCCGTAACAAGACGATTTTGAACATAAATCGATATTTTCTTTAATAACAAACTAATGTCAGTGCATGCAAACAGTTGAAACAGAAACGGCAGCTACGAGTATAAGACTATCACTTTAAGGTCCAAATTTAATCCAAAATGTCTGTAGGTAGGCTCTGTCAGTAATTATGCCATGCTTACTCTCCATATAAAGCTGCTGTAGGTGTATACCGCAGGTAGGGCGGATAAAAACTCATTGCCCTATTCAGTATCGCATCAATGCAGGAAAATTACTTATTACCACAAATAGAAGCACCCTATTAAATGACTGGCCAAACCATTAAATCATACAACTTAACAAAGACATCATATTACATGGACCCAATTGTTTGACTTGGCAATAAGTAACCCCAGTGCTCTACCTGCACTTTGAGCTATACATTTAGCGGTCTTATTATAATCAAGAAACTCATCAAGTAACAAACCAAGGTAGGTATATTGTCCTACAATTTTAAGACTATGCTCGCCACATGTGAAATCAAATGAGGATCTGCTGGCCGACTGCGACCTGAAGTGAATAATGTTGCTCTTATCATCATTTACTATCATAGCATTTGGCGTACACTAATTTGTCAAAACATTAAGAATAAGTTGAAGATCATTTTCAGTTTTAGCTACAAGTAAAATATCATTAGCATATAATAAAATGCAAACCGTATCATTATTTATATCAATTCTTTTACTAATAGCTTTAATTTTTACAACTTTTATCATCTATAAACATATTAAACAATAAAGATGATAACGAACACATCTGTCGAAGCCTACATTTGACCTCGAACCATTCTGTTGTTAGGCTATTTATCCTTACACAAGACGAACTTGGTTATATAGTGACTGTATTGCCTGTAACATATTACTATGGATACCTTTACTATCTAATTTGTTCCATAACAATGATCTGTCAATAAAGTTATATGCCTTACAGAAATCATAGAATGCACAAAAGATTGATAATGTCTTTTTCTTTCTAGTTTCTACAATATTATTTAAAGATGTCACATACTCAATGATACTGTAACCTTTCCTAAAACCATTTTGCTCATAAAAGAATCACTGAGTATATTATTAGATTCTGTCCATTTTGATGATATATGTTATACATGCTGCAAGACAATGACAAGCCTCTATAGGACAATGGATCTCTTGGAACGACAGTACTTGAATTCGGTTGTACAGAATCAATCAAACCGGGTCTGCAGTTCTCTTGTAATTTTGTTGTGATTCATGCTTCCGAGGGATCACTTTGTTTCTAGATTTTTATACTTTACAACAGCAGGTGTCAAGTGCTGTATGGCAGATGTAAAAAGTTGCCACGTACTTCACTTCAGTGTGTTATATTTTTCTGGTCCTTCGGGATCATTGAAGCCAGCACTATTAAGTGTTGAGAATTGAGTACCGCTCAACCCGGTGCTGCGGGGGGGGGTGAAGAATGTTGCCCTTTACATTATCCCTCATGTACAGACTCAATCAAACCGAGTCTGCAGTTCTCTTATAATTTTGTTGTGATTAATGCTTCCAAGGGATCACTTTGTTTCTAGATATTTATTATTATCTTATTCCATTCAGAAGGAATAATTCCTTTTGAAAAACAGATATTATACAAAATATGAAGAAAAGACACAGAGCAAACATTTTTTAAAATTTCCATAGGTATATTATCACAACCACAGGCTTTACTATTATTATATAATGTTGGGATTAAAGTTTATGAAAATTTGTAATACGCATGCATGAAACCTACACCAGTTTTATTCGCATGATTTACTGCAAAATGACAAGAGTCCTCGATAAAAATGTAAATACATCAAAAACATACGCATAAATAAGCTTAACACTTCGGGGCACCTTTTAAATTTCTAACATAGATAGATGCCTGATATCAAAATTATCGACATAATTACGGATCACTTCCATAAAGCAATCAATGTTTTATTTTTTTGTGTATCATTCAGTTATTAAATAGACAGTTTGATCAAAGTCGGGCTTGAATAACATCATCCATACAAAAGAGGAAAAAAGACATCCAGCATACTGGGAGCTTCTATATTGTCACTAATGCCGACGTTTTAAACTTTGAAAAGTTAAAGAAGAGTTTAGTACAAAACGGCCTAAATCCTCTGGTGTCCTAATGAAAGAGTTTCCCAAAATGTTACTGTGTTTTTTTTATCCGTTTTCGTGACTTCTGTCAAAATAGTAAAATCCTTTTTTCACACTTAAGATGTTAAAGTTTGATTGTATATGATGCAGCCTCGATTAATATGTAGATCTGCCAGATAAATCCATCTAAATTTAATTGTAAGCACTGTATATCTATGAAATTTTAATCCACATTTCCCCATGTCGGCCCACAGGTTGCAGTATCTGGCAGTGTATGGCCACCCCACAACCCCCCTGGACCCCTGCTTCAACCAAAAAAAAACCAACAAAACAATCTTCTTAGGTTTACTATAGGTTACCATTACCAAATACAAACCCACCGATGAAGTAAAAAATATTTTATTTCCACTCTTAAAACTAAAGTTATAGAAAGGCGAAAAGTCTACTTATATATGCTCATTTGCCAAACAATGTGGAACATGGGATATCGTCGTTTCGGCGACTCGGGCGCATTCCGGCGGCATATCGATCGCTGCACCATTCATTAACATCAATAAAAGAACTAGAATTCCACGGTTAACCTTATGCAAGTCCCATGAATATCTGAGAAAAGAATCTGACATTTGTTTTTTATGAAATTCCAGTTTCATTTTGATAAGAAACTCTGGCGAGAGAACTTAAGAGACTTACTTAAAACAGTACTTTGCTTTGACTTAACACAGTGATTTGTGTGACATTAACTACAGTTAACTTAGATATCTGTTTGCGAAAGTTTAGAAATCTTCTCTGTTTGATTCTTCCCTCCTTAATCATTTTAACGTTGGGGGGGGGGTAGGGAGAGAGAGAGAGAGAGAGAGAGAGAGAAGAGAGAGAGAGAGAGGGGGGAGAGAGGTAAAGTAAAAAAACGAATAGCACTCTGGGTAGTCAAGGTCCAATCGTTTTTGTAAATATTGGCAACTTTTGATAAAGCAATTTATCTATTACAGTCATTTAAACATATATTATAATATATAATAATATTTTACAGCCCAACACCTATTGTACAGAAAGTCATAATAAGTACATTACCAACTGGAGAGACAGAATTAATAGTGATACTGGTCTTTCTAGACGAGGCGGTAATAAACTCCGGTTGTAATGAATATGTCACTGAGCAATATTGCAAAACGATTTTTTCGCCCAGACACGGGTCCGCGTTTTGTAAGTTTCGGTGTGGGCTTGTTTCCATTAGAATTGAAACTGGCAGATACGAAGGTTTGCCAATTGATGAAAGAATTTGTCTATTTAGTCGAGACTGCCTTAGCGACCCCCTGATTTCAACGACTCCCTGTCTTATCCGACCTTGTTTCACTACTCCCAACGTATTTTCATATATAAATGGTCTGAATTAAACGACTCCCTGTCATATGTGGCAAGCGACCCTAAGTGTCTGGTCCAAATGCAATGTTTTGTCTGTTTTCACACATTTTAATTGTCCGTAAATCAGATAGATAATACCCATTTTAGCACCCAGAGGGCCAAAAAAATAAAGTCCAATTATAATCCAGTAGCAAACAAACTTTACACATCTTCCAGGTTCAATTAAACAGTCAGTTAACATGTATATACTTAACAGGTATTGAGTGACGTAGCGTCTGTTCCCTACTGCATATATATGGTAAGCATGATGCAATCGATGTGTGTGTAATGAACATAATGACCTGAGTAAACTGGATTAAGACTTGTGTCAGATTTTGTTTTAATTATAGAGTGCCAACGGAAGATTTTTTTTAGGCAGCATTTTTTAAATGTACCTTTCTATGGCTGTATAAGTAATACGGAAAAATATTGATACCAAACCAGAAAAAAGCTTTGGATATGGATATGATTAACTTTTAAACAAGTATGATATTTATTTCTATAATTTGAATGCATCAAATTCCATAAAGAATTTATTTTATACTACACAGATTCAATTTAAATCTTAATACAAAAAATGTTTTTTTTATAATATACATGCGAATATACAGTATTTGTTTTACATGGATTCTTATTTTATTTACATAAAAAATTTTAAGAATGTTTATTTGTAATTGGTCAGATTATATTCCTTCACACAGTTATGTATGTTAAGTCACAATGGTATATAGACAGATAGATGGTATTTATATTTAATTTTCTTTGAGACTGTATTTAGAGACTCCTTGTCATATGTGACCTTTTCCTGAAGATCCCTTGGAAAGTCACATATGACAGTCTCGACTGTAATAGTACTGAAATTGTATTGTTTCATTGTTCAGTGTACTGTGATATTAGAAAAAAAAAACACTATCTGATGCCAATTAATGTGATTTTTTGTTTTCCAACCCAGATATGATAAGAATCTGTGCCAAAATCTGCTATCTTATATTACAAAGACGGGTAGTTTTAATTAATCATTTTAATTAGATTTTATGTATAAATACATATACTTTTCTTTCTTGAACTGATACTGATGAGCCTACTCTTATGCGTTTTTACTAATCTTTATAAATTCATTTAATTTCACTGTGGTCCTTTCAATGATTTCATCTTATATGTATAGGATGTTTGTAACATGATATGACTCATTCTCTTATAACTCCACGGAGTGGCAATATACATGTAATTCTTTATTATGACTGTGAATATATTGATTGTAACTTGTATGTATGTACATTGATGAGACTTTAAAAAATAAACTAGATAAGTTATTTTGAAAGAGTTCATTTGAAATTAATTAGATTGAAAGAGTACATTTGAAATTTTTGCAACAGATGTTAGGTGAAAGCAACATACTGTAAATACAACAGTGTATGAAGAATTAGGAAGAATTAGGAAGATGTCCATTAATTGTATATAGAAAGATAAGGATATTGACATTTTGGTACAGAACTCTTAAACATAACGACACACTTACTTATAGAATTGATAGTATGAAAAATGATAATGATGTTTTATTAAACAAGTGGTCCAGTGATGTACAGGATTTGTTAAATGATTTAGGTTTTCCGTTTTTATGGAATAATCAATGTGTTACAAATGATCAACTTCATATTTTAATAGCACGAATAAAAGATCAATACTTCAAACCATGTCAAAGTAAAATTAACAATTTACCTAGATTAAAAACATATTGCATATTTAAAAATGAACATGTTGCTAAAAAATATTTGTTCTATAATATTAATTCAAATTATGTACTTCTCTATGTCGATTTAGATGTTCTGTTCATAAATTACTGATAGGGGAAGGTAGACACAGGAATATTCCAAGACCTGAACGAATTTGTTTTCGTTGTAACATGAATGTAGTTGAAAATGAGTATTGTTTTCTGTTAGTGTGTCCCTTCTATAGAGAAATCAGATATCGTTGCTTTCCTAATTATCATGTTCTTGGCCTAGTATCCAGAAATTCAATTCATTATTGACAAATGAAGACGTAATCATAAATCTCTTCTTTTTTTCCAAGATTTCTAAAAGATATTTATATGCATGTACAAATATGATTTTTTTGCAGAATAATACAAAAAGAACACTGGGGATGAGTGTGAGTGTGAGCTGTTGAATAGTATCTTATGTTAGGTTAAGATTTTCCTCTCAAGGTATTATTTACCCTCCAAGAAATGAAAGTACAAAAATGTGACGTTCAGTGTAACACAATATACATTTATTTAAGAAAAAGATACATAATATACTGATTATAATTAGGAAAAAAACACTACAATTCAAAACAAAATCAATACAAAATCAAAGCACTGTTGGCATTGTTATACGCTTTTATTTCACTCGTGACCATCAGATTTTAAATATTTTAACTCGTGGTTACGACACTCGTGAATATTTAAATTCTGAGGGTCACTCGTGAAATAAATTTTCGATCACACACTGAAAAAATCAAATATCTTCTATATATAATACGAACCTGTATAGGCTGTAAGAAGACGTTATTATAAATTCATACGCCTGCATAATTGATTTATTTGATTTTAGATTTGATTGATTAAAAAAGAAAAAGAAATCTTTAATTTTCAACAGCCGTGTATATAAATAATAGAAAGGCCACGAATTACAGACATATTGACTCGTGAGCCATTGAATATGATGTGATATTCAGCGGTTATGTTAATAATATAATTTAAACGATAACACTTGTTGACATAAGAAACCTTTTCTTAAAGGCCACGTTAACATCCTTTGATCTACATAGATTGAAAGCATTTAAATGTTCAAAATACCTTTATTATAGACGTGCTATGGCTAGTTATATGTCTTTAAGACAGTACACATTTCTATGATTCTTGTAAATTAATACAAGTACACGGTTTCATAATTATGAAATTTCGTATTTAAAACTCAACAAGTGTTATAAAAATGCATAACTTCAGTGTTAATGAATAAACAGATGAAGTAAAAATTGTTCATTACATTTTCCCCTGCACAATAACATTACTTCGGCCATTTTGCAAAGAAATACAATCGTACATATGGGGTTTCACTTTTTATTTTATTTATTGACGGGGAGGGGGGGTGAAGGTTTTCAACTGTTTCGCGAACGCTGCGCAATAAAAAGTTATTTAAGTATAAAGTTATTATAGCGGTGTAACTGTTAACCTTTCTTTTGATGTTATGATATTTAAATCGAAAAACATGCCATAAAAACAAAACGTAATAATACATTTTATGCGCACGCGTTTAAAAATACATTGTAATTTGTAGATTGTGTGCGCTTCGAATCTTCACGCTATATAAAGCATCGTATTCAAGATTTAAACCAATCAAATTCGATAAATTCATAGGCATTATATACGCCATGACTGTCGCATGAAAGTTAACGTTACTAAAACGCAGAAGTATAAATTAGCGATAATAATTTATGTTTTATATTAAGACCGGAAAATTTATCTTGTATGCCAATATTTACATTATTGTTAACCGGGCATCCTTTGTATGATTCTACTTATAAATAACGGGTACATTACATCATATGCTATTACATCACATCAAAAACTCAACAATTGTTTCAAACATAGAGGGATAAATAGAGTGAAAATTTCAATATTATTATAAACAATTATCATTGCAATAACACCAATAAATTATTTCATGTTTTCAGCACAATAACTTTACTTTCCAATACACCAATACAACATAATATAGACATATAGATTGAACACACAATAATTTAATGCATTTCTGGTACAGCAACAAACAAAAATTGAACAATGATTCATAATAATAACTGCCAATCAGTTTAAAAAACACACACATACAGAATAGTGAACATTACAATTGGTTCAAAAATCGTGAAATAAAGAAACCGTGATCTGCACCATTCGCTATTCAGTCAGTATATCTTTGTTATTTTCCTTAAATGAATAAATGTTGCTTTTTAATAGACTAAATGAAGGTCATGTCCATTTAAAGTTTTCATCCAGGTTTGAGTTTATCAATGTTTTATAATAATCAAAGTGGCCAGATGTTAAATCATATACAATTTTACTTAATAATTCAACATTACAAAATATATAATGTCAAAATTATTTCAAGATAACAATATATGCAAACAAATTACAATTTATTTTTCATTTTTGATTTAAATAAAGCAATGCATGACAAAACAATTGATCATTTTCTTAATATTAATTCCACCTGACAAGAAAATAACAAAAAGCACAATACGAGATCACAAAACTACAAGGATAAAGTAATAAATCCTCATCTAAATATTAAAGTAAAAAAACAACAGAACAACAACAACAAAAATGTTAAAACAGTGAAGAAATAATTGATCCTTACATTTCCAATGTTTAGTAAAATGTTCTGTCATTTATTTCTACAATTCAACAATCTCTGATAACTTGTTTCTCAAAATGAAACAAAGACAAGGTAAAACTATAACTTTCAACAATTTTAATTTTTCTTGAAGTGATTGATATTTAAATACAAAAAACTTGAAAGAAGACTTCCCTTTGTTATAAAAACAAAGCAAAGCAGTTATAGAGTTGGCTTCGTTCGGTCTCTTTATGAAATACAATGCAAGGGAATATTGTTATCCACACTCATATATACTAGTAAGCGGTATACGATCCTAAACAATACAAGAATCAATGTTCCTGTAGGCACCAGACTTAAATAAAGTAATGGACGACAAGACAAATATCCCTATATTTGAAAAAAAGTTTTCAAAAAAATACGGATTAATCGACCATTTTTTCATGATGTCTAACGGATTTGGACAAGTCCAATTTTAAACCGTTCCATCATAAGTCTTCATAAGTCAAATTAAATATATTAAATATATTCTGACACAAAATTATCTAAAAGTCCAGTAGAAAGCGTTTCATGATAAGTTGTTTTCAAGTTCAGTAAAAACAAGTTCAGTTAAAACAAATCCTACATTAATTTTCTACAATCCCTGTTAGGAGATGGTCCGCCACCATTTTCATTTTAAGTTCATTAAAATATGAACAATTAGATTTATTCAAGTACTTTGATGCTCTTGCTACACTCTTTCATCAAATGTCCAAACTGGTACATGTCCTCTGATTTCTCTCTGTTGTGTTTTAGTACTTTGGGGAGTTGGTTGAAGTATGCTTTTCTTACCATCTGAAACAAAAAGACCGATGGAAGTAGACCAAAAGCAATGCAATCAACAGCACAATACTTTTGTTTATTTTTTCTCCCTTAACACAAGAAAATAAAAAGTAATTGTCAAATTAAATAGAGCAAAGGCCAACAAACAAATATCTATCAGTTTAATGTTCAAAATATAAACTAAAATCGCCTTTTTCGTTCTATCAACACAGGCATAATGACTAGAACTCGAATTATCTTACGATATTCGTCATGTTAGGCCATTATTTATATTGAAAGTTACACAATGTGACATGTTTTAACGAAACATGTAAGTAAGTTATCTATGAACCATAAAATGGAAGAAGGAAGAAGAAAAATGATGATAAATGTAATTTGCGCCTGAGACAAAAACAATTATATTTATTATTTCTATTAGTCCGATAATACGGTCAAGGCATACGAGTTTTAGTATCAGGGCATCAAGTTTATGCATATTAATCGTATTAATAAATGTACTCAAGGTTTTCCAGATTCAAACAATAAAGTAGCCTACTTTTGATATTAAAATGCCAGCATAAAACTTTTTTTCTGATCGTGTCGGAGTGGTGGTGATATCTTTGAACATGTGCCCAAGATTACCTTTGTAACGTTCGCTTCAGCCAAAAAGTTTCATTCTATTTAGATATTACTATCTTTTAATTATTCTTAAATAATGAATTAATGTGGATTTTCTATTTCACAGGTTTTATCTGTTGTATATTAAGAAAGTTGTAATTGCCTTCACAATATTTTGTGCAGCTTGTGTTAACTTATCTAATTAAAACTGATTTTTATTTATTTGCATGCGAGTTATCAATCTAAATTGATGCGTAATATTAATTCTAACTGTTCTCTATTCATTTTGAGCACAGGTTACTTGTAGGCTATTTCAGGTCATTATAATAATACTTATAGTTTTAAACATTAGAATTTGCAATTTCAACTTGTATATGTATACTTAGGATAACTATTACACTTAATGAATAAGCTACATGTAACATTTTATTCTATTCCTCATAATGCCTTTTTTAAGTTTTTCAACATTTATATTTGCATTTTCAACTTGTATATGAATACTTTTGAATACTTAGGTTAACTATTACACTTAATGAATAACATACATGTAACATTTTATTGTGTTCATAATGCCCTTTAAGGTAGTGACGCTACAGGATTGTGTTTATTAATCGATTAAAGGCTTTAATACAACGGTTATGTTATTCCTTTTATGAATAAACTCATGACAGCATAGGATTTCATTCGGTAATCATCGCATACATCATTACTGAAAATGATTATTAGTCTATTTATATTTAATCTACAGGATAAAAGAAAGAGATGAACCTTTGCCGCCAGAACAGTACAAGTCCAGCTTGCACGACCGTGAAATCTGACGAATCTCTATATTGTTGTAAGCTAAACCTTTGCCATTTGTTATTCAGATTCTTCACACTTACAACATGTACAAGAGACTGTGACCAGATTTAGAAACTAGAAATGGCCAGATTTAAGATATGCAGTAGATTAACCTAATAAGTGGTAAATAAAAACAATAATGCAACAATTAAAATATTGAAATAAAGGTATTAATCAAGGAGGACATAAAAACAAAGATACTTACGTCGTAGGAAATTTTTATTCCCACTGTTTTACACTTCATATCATGCACGACTAAATCTTCATTATGCAGGACCGAAAGACCTTTTGCAAGATCTCTGGCAATCAGTAGCACTTCTTGTATCCGCAGTGGTCTTTTACATAGCATGTATGACAGGTCAATATCATATCGAAATTTTCGGCTAGGAGAAAAGTGCGAAAGGATTCGCATAAACGAAATTGCAGACTCTGTGATAAAAGGGATGAAACAAGAGGTTAATAAACGACCTGCACATTGAAACTATATAGAATTTTGTAAAAAAAATCTGGAAACAAAGTGATCCCTCATAAACATTTATCACAACAAAATTACAAGAGAACTGCAGACTCTGTTATATAATTTCCAACTAAAGTGTGCGCGGATCAACTGTTTATGTGCATAAAGCTCAAAATATGTCCTCGCTAAAATTCATGATTGCAAACAAAAATATGTCTATGGTTGTTAATTTAAATATATCATTAAGAAAACACAAACATTAGACTCTTGGTTTTGCATTCTTATATTGCTTCTTCTTTATATCATTTGTGTGATCTGTGCTCTGCCTTGCGGCCTGTTCTATTTTGTTTGGGGTTCTCCAGAACTCCTTGCCGCTGGTTCTTCTTGCTTGGTCGTTTGGGATTACGTTCATTGAACACCTCATTTCCTTGTTGATCTTGTTTATCATATTTTTTATTCAATTTTAAGTTCTTACCCGGTTATTCATCAGAAATATTAAGCATTAAAATCATCGTTCCTTACCTTTTTTAAAGTTTTCATGTTTTTGTTCGTCTATGTTCGGATTAAACGACTGTAAACAACAATAAAATCTCTATCAGCACCAGTTAAGAGGTTAAAAAGTTATATAAATGTACGCTCTTTTCATGGAACCAGGCATGTTTTGTACATTCCTTTTTCAGCAGCATATTCATGGTTCAATGTAATTTTGACACAAAATTATGAAAGTGTCCTTAACCATAAAAAATGTTTTCAGTGTAAACAGATGTTAATTACAACATATATGTCATAGACATTATTAACCCTGTCTTCTTAATGTGGTCAGTACTCGTTGCTTAGTTTGGATATATTTTGAAATGTTCGCAAAAATGATAAAATGTTTTGTCAGAATGGAAAGATGAACTGCACAGGGTTAACACTGGCGATATTTTTTCTTTCAACCATTTGTTTTCGCGACTGTCATTGTGCATTTTAAACAGTCAGTGCTTTTTATTATATAACATAACTTTCTATGCTTATTTGATAGAAATCGTTCGCATTTTAAATATTGATTTGTCACAGTTGAATTTATATTATAATATTGGTTGCCGCAATTTGTTCGTTATACCGAACATCGTGTAGAACCGGCATTTTGATTTGTTTTAATCGCCTCATTAAAATTGTGAGGCAATCAGTGAAATAGGTGTCTTTGACACACATCTAATCATGATTCGGCCGCGAGTATCCCACGATAACTTCCTGTGATTTCCTTCAATGGCACATTAGGCCTCAGAAACTAATTAAATGTTTTTCTTTCTTTTTTTAAACGGACTAGCATGAATATAATGGTTGACTTGGAGAAATAGCTAAATATGCGAAATTATTTGTCTATAATATAGCAAAATATACCGAAATTAGTATTTTCACTTCAATGCTTAATCGCAATAACTGCACAAATTGCCAAATACAACGGTAATCACAGATGGTTCTGTTAATATATAAATTTCTAATCGTAACATATATTGTTACTATATTTACATTTTTAGGTGTGATGGGCCTATAAATTATTCAGCATGATTTTGATTTGTGTCGGAAAAAGAATTATTTGCTTTTCATTTAGATACTTTCATACTAGCTTTTTTAGTGACTGCAAACGGTTAATTGTTCTTCATAATCGTTTATTATAAGGGTAATGTCCCAAATTTCTTGTTATCGAATCCATTGTTTTAAGCAATGTTATCATTCTAGGATTTTTGTTCGAGCCTTTTCAGCAGGCATGATTCTTCATCTACATAAAAAGATCAATTTTGAATAAATTATAAAACCGCAAACGCAAACATTATTTAATACTGGGCAGAAAATACAATTTCTCGCGGCCGAACCATTACCATTTATCAGCCGCGGGAATTTTGGCCGATATCCCTTCGATTAGAGGTGAATCAAAATGCAGCAAGAAATTTTGTAATCTTTAATGACACTTAAAGAATATATTATAATTTATATAATAAGATAATGACCTTCTTGTTCATGATTGCTGTAAGTGTATACAGAAATGGATTTAATGCGGAGTTTACTGGCAGCACCAACACAGCCGTCCATGCGTAAACGTCACCTGGCACAGTGTTTCCGTTCAATGCAACCAACCCTGAAAATTAAGAAATGAAAATCTACAAATAAGAATTCAAGAAAGGAAATTAAAATCCAGATAAATAACAAAATGAAATAGTTCTTTTCCTATTCTTATTCAATAAAAAAGTCATATTTTAAAATTAAGAATTATGAATACATGAAAACAAACAAAAATCCACAAATTTTAATAACAAAGGAATATATATACGCGAATTCTAGTCTTTTTCATATTTATTCGAAAAAGACAAATTTGAAAATACTATATTATTATTTTTTGAGCCTGATTTCGACAAAAGTCTTCGTATAAAGTACATGGATGTTCATTAAGTAAAAAATACGTGAACTTGTATGAAAAAAAAATATAAAAAGATCTGATGAATATTTTACATACAACTAGTGCCATATTTTATTTGGTTAAATAATATGTGATATTTTATAGATTAGAATCATCTTCTTTTTAAGTTACCCATAACTCCGATTGGAAACCAGCATAAAAAGTCAGTTGAAACAAGTAACAGCAAGTTCCTCGCTACAATTAAGTCGTTTTTTCGGCTGACATTCATTCTCCTGGATATTTTTGTTTGATTTCTTACTTCTGTGTAAATGAGTAGCTGTCCAAGAGCTATCAGGACAAACATTGCGAAATTGAAGATGACAAAAACGCTGAAGGAATAAATCCATCCAGGGGGCCTGTCACGAGTTAATGGCAAGGCAAGACAAACTGCTGATTTACTATAGAATCCGTCACTGAAATAGTCTACATATATTAATGGCAAGATTGAAAGAAACGCTGCAAATACCCATATTATAACGGATATCACGACTGCCTTTTGAGAAGTAATACGAACGTTTCCAAACGGAAATTTGATAACAAGAATCCGATCTATGGTAATCAGGGCGACAAAAAAGACGCTTGCTTCGGATGAAAGCGTTGACAATACACCAGCAAGTCTGCACCAATTGCTTGAACGCCAATATGTGTCGGCTTCTATGTATCTAGAAAAAAAATGGATGGCTAGGTACAGATGGTGCTAAATTTTATATAAGGAATACATTTGAATCGGTTCAAAGAGAAAATAAAAACAAACTTTCGTAGAGTCTGATAGATTTCACTTGTGCGTTGAAATGCGCAGAACAAAGAGGAAAACAGCCAGTTGATGCAATTCTTTATTACCACCTTTATTTATTAGAAGAGACAAATCTTTTAAACACACAAGCCGTCCGGCACTTCAGAATTCAAGTAATGATGAATTTTTAATATGAAATACTGACTCACTCAATTATAAACTATTTTTTGTTAGAAAATTTATTAAAAAGAATGGCATTATGAACGAAATGCGTAGATTTTAGCATTTATATTATTCTAGTCGTTCTATTTGCAATGTTAATTTATAAATATACTTACCTGCCTCGAAATATATTATCAGCCAAAGCAATTATCAGCATATAAATTCCCATTAACAAGTCAGATATTGCTAGATTTGTGACAAATATACCATAACCAATCTTCAGTCGATACCTATCGAAATGCATTCTGTATACAAACGACGCAATGTTGCCTAGTAACGCCAAGCTGCCGATCACCCAAAGAAGCACTTGTAATATCGGGTGCCGCATCAAGTCTGCACAAGAAGAGAACTCGTCTTGGTAAGGAAGACATAAATCTTCCCTAAGATACAAAGGTCGGATACAACAAAACTTAAATGCTGGAGTATGCAACAGTTCTACTGACTGTAATCCATCAAACATCTTTTTAGAAAACACACTTATTGGATTTCCTTGAAGTTTCAATTGCCTTGTTGTTAATTCATTGAAAGCTTGGTCTTCTACTTTGTCTACATAGTTAAATGAAATATCAACGTTATCCAGTATTAGACCTGCAAACGTATTCCTTGAAATGGTGAATATACTACAACCTGTTAAATCTAATGATCTTATCTTAAGGCCATGAAATGTTTCTGGTTCAATGTAAGACAGCAAGGCGTTTCCGTGCAGAAACAAGTTGGTTAAACGCGTTAAATTAGAAAATGTATATCTCTTAAGTCGTGGAATTTGATTATGTGATAAATCCAATGTACGTAAATTTGTCATACGAAAAAAGTACGTGTCAGATAATGCTGAAATTTTACAATGTGAAACATTTAAAAAATAAAGGTAACGAAAAGGTATGTCAATAAAATATAACAACAGAAAGTCCTTTCCAAATGTACTGGTATGGCTTAAATCAAGCATTCTTGTAGAGTAATGAATGTTCAAGTCATGTATGGTTGTGCTCGTGTTACTATTTTCTTCACATTTCATTGTAAGCAGGCCACAAAAACAAGAAGGTGGGCAGTGGAAATCGCAATACGCTTCGTCATCCTCGTTTGGACAATTTCTATTTCCGTCACAAATCTGGTCTAATTTCAAACACACTCTGCTACCAAGGCATTTGTATCCACCTGCGCAAGAAGTATTTCTAATATCTGAAAGTATAATTTTTAGATGCGATTATATACTGGAAAAACGAGTAATTTAACAGACTATGGTAGATCGATACCAGTGTTCTAACTGATCTGTTCACAAACAACTTGTTATGTTTCTGACCAAAAAATATATTTAGGGCTATGATATAAGTTCTTGCCTTTAATTTGCTATAACGCTAGACTAATAATATCTGTCATATGTTGCGGTTCGGACCGGAATATCCGTCCCGAGGAGACCCGCCCATTTGGGAAATTAACGGAAGTCGATCTTATGTCCAATAGTCGGGTTGTCGTGCACGGAAACGGTTACATGGAAAATTGCCATTATCCAATATGGTTGAATTTGTGTTGGTATAACCCTTTTGCATGTATCAAGATTGATTTGAAAATAGATCAAATGACATTTTTGGCAAAGACTTACCATTTTTTATCTAATGTTTTAAATTTTTTTAGATTCGCGACATTTATGGTCGGCAGAAAAAATCTGATTTGATATGAAGTTTACCAGGAGACAAATAATGCTCAACAAATTCTTTAAAAATATTTTAAGGGATTGGTGTAATAAATATTTTCAGTATACCACTGAAATTGTTATCTATGTATGTTTGTATATCTAGTAAGATTATTCAACACTGCTTACACTGTTTCTAGATGTAGTTCATAGTTTGCTTAATGAAAAAGTGTCAGGACAGATCTTAATATATTGCCTTACCTGTGCATTCATTTTTGAAAAACCATGGTCCTATTAAATTGACAATTTCCCAATTACGAACAAGTATTTCTGTCACTGCTGACGAAACAATTTGTATATTGGTTTGTATTGTTGGCTCTTCACGTAAATTGTATACAGTAACGTTGCTGCCATAACCTTCTAGTACCAACTTTACGTAGTTAGAAAATGTCTGCTCATCATAATTTAACCACGCACTTGTAATCCATATAACTGCTTTTGCTTTTGTACTGTTCCAGACGTCGTGAAATGGTTTTAGATCATGTATAAACCATGATAGATTCTGAAGGTAATTATCATTTACATACACTTCAAAACGATTTCTATCATGAAATAAACAGTGTCCAGCTTTCGAACGAATAATTTGTCCATAGAATGCCAGCATAATGTCAGTTCGGTATGAAATGAACATAACAGTTCGACCCTTAGAGTATAACTGACCGGCTAGTTTGCAAGCTCTTTGTTTTTGTTTGGCGCCAGAAAACATATCAAGAAAAATCAAAAACGTATTTTCGTCTTCCTGACACCCTGGAAAATAGTTTAAAGCTGTATTACTGATTGTGAATAGTATTATTCGCGACCTTATAGGACGTTTTCGGTAGTTTTTATATAGATATAAAGGCAAAATTAAAACTGTTCAAACATTTTGGATTTTTTTCATGTGACGAAACTATCCAGCTAGCTCACGGAACGTTGGTGGTTCTACTCAGGTGCCGTTCGTACCTGATATAATTTACGGAAGGACACCTGAAGACTTCCTCAGGTTGAATAGCTAAAAAGTACACCATATGACCTTTACCGTGAAAAACCCGATGAAAACAAAAACTCATAAAAAGCTACGTGTTCTAACGTCCACTAATTATCTGAGAAAAGATCAATGAAGTTTAACACCAGTCTGTGTTATTGCATAGAAATGTAAGATTAATTAATATAAGGCGATGCTAAATCGTATATAACTAGAAATAACAATGCTTAGGAGTAAGTTTAATTAAAAATGAATCAGAAGTGAAAAAAGTAAAACGCAGTCCCAATGTAACCTAGCAAAACCGACATGTCAGCCAGCAACTAAACTAAGAAATGGTACAACTAAAGGAAACTTAGAAAAGACACAATGAAGAAGAAGCTAATGTAGAGACACACTTACTATTGTAATAATTAAAAATTTAATCAAAGAAATAATAAGAAAATACATAGCACACCTGTCTTTTTAATTATGATTTATCACTGATAAGTTTATGTGGCATTAACATTAGAGTTTATATAATAAAGAGACAATAAGTATATGTATTCATGGATGAATATTGATAATCCGTAACTAACAATATATCAGTTTGTAAATTTACAACAGAGTCTTTCTATCAGACCATCAAATATTTGTTCTTGTATTTTCAGAGTTTCGTTATATTTTCTTACATAAAATTAAACGACTCCAATGGATAAAATATGGTAACGTGCATAGCAAATTAAAATAAAACGGTAAAAACATAGTTGTCAGACCGACTATAAAAATGACATCGTTTTCAATTTGTTAGTCACTAAAGACGTAAAATTACACATTTTAGGTATTTGCTCAGTTAAAAGTTAGACATTCGAATCAGTATATTGGTAAAATAATAAAGCATATAAAGAATCACATATGGCCCTTCAAAACGGGAAAGTAACAGTATGTAATGGCTGTCAATTTAGTAACATTAATTACCTCGTACCCTCCGAAAGGTATAATACAAAATAAGCTTGGGGCTGACATGCAAAAATGGTTTATTTTGTAAGGTATTTCTGTCGGTTAATTTCAAAACAAAAGTCAGGTAACTTATAGTCATCTTAAATATATAAAATATTTCGCCAGCTTAATCGGTTATGGAAAGTGAACGTAATGTCCACTTAATTGTAAAAGAACAGTAAACATAATGTCTACTTAATTGTTTTTAACCTCCAGAATTGATTTAAAAAATCTTATCATCGGCGTTACATGTTATTATAAAGATTTTCATTTGACATCAAATACAACCGCTAGTCAAGAAAAAAACGTGTTAATATATAAAATTGTGAATTGCATCATCTGCATTTGTTGTTTCAGTTTACATTTTGTGAATAGGCATTTCATTCTTTTTTTCTAATACCGTAACACATTAAAGACAAATTATTCCATTATATTTCTAAATCTTAAATTATAACAAAATTACAGCAATTTTGCTCGTCCTCCCCGTTCGGACAGTCCATGTGTCCATCGCAAACTTTATGTTGAAGAATACAGTAACTTTTTGGACACTTCACATATTGGTCTGGACAAACATAATCAGCTGAAAAAACATTCAAATGTGAAACGAAAATCAAAATAAAATAATGTTGAATTTAACATAAAATTATGAAAATTATATCAGTAAAAATGAGAAAAAACATTTCATTACAACCAATTGAGTTTGAGAGACATTTACCCCAAATGGGTATATACAAAATCATAATTTAAGATGATTAAGGCGTCCGTTTCTCGTTTGACCTCCAAGGTGGAGGCATGTTTACTCGATGTGCGTGGTTTTTAGAATCCTACCAAGCTGTGTTATACATATATAAAACAGGCATAATTTTAAACAGAAACAAAAGATGAGTTTTCATATACCTTGGTCTTCATAAAGCTAGTGACTCACGGGTCAAGGCCAATTTTCGTCTGACGGTGAAGAATAATATAACTTTTGTAGAAATCTACAATTTGCTGCTTATTACTAAGTATCTTATCTCTTGGCTTAGTATTTTCACACATTTTGACTTAGATGTGTTTTTCCAATATAAATGTACATGTATATCAAGTGACTCTCGGATAGGCCAGTATTGACCTAGGGGCATGTCTAATATCAGTTTTGTAAAGATTCATATGATAATGCTTAACATCATCTTTAGGCATTATAGTTCCACAAAGTAAGACTGAAATGTGGTTTTTGGTTAATTTTCAAGACTGTATTAAGAAGCGTTGCGAGTATTAACCCAAGTGGCATGATCAATACCAGTTTTGTAAAAGCCAGCGAAGTTATGTTACATGTCCAATAACTAAACTCTAGGCCTAATACTTTCATTGTTAAAGATTACAAATATTGAACCAAGGAGCATGAATCATATCAGTTTGGTGAAGGTCAACAAACGAATGCTGCAGTGCTAAAAAATCTAACCTCTAGACATTCACATCATGAAATTTAAATATGTTTTCCTATATAAGTCTATATAAATCAAGTAACCCCACAGCAGAACCAATTTTGATCTTAGGCAGCCTGAACACGTTTTCTGTTCGTGTTTTATTACAAGTAGTATTTCGCCCAAAACCTTTTGATTTCTTTCTATATGTTTAAAATATACAGAGCGGGCACATAATTTTAAAATTCATACAGAATGACTAAGCTTGACATCGTCCCGAAGAAGGTCAGACATATGCTGTGCACATTGTCTTAATATCGTCAACATTTTATCTTAGAAGTTTCAATGTCCTTCCATCGGTTCAGACAGGCCGGACACGAAAACTAGGGACAGACGGAATAACAATGTCAGAAGTACAACTATATGTTTTGAATATCTTTTTACTTTAGTCTTTGATATTTTTTCTTATTTTTTTCTCATTGCAATTGTCAAGATGATTCAGACTTCTAAATGTTTATTTCTTAAAAGGAGAAATATAAGTTTTATAATGCTTTAATAATAGTTTTAAAGCATGCTACATGATTTACATGTTTCACATGAAAACAAATTGTGCTAAATGTGGAATACTTTTTATAGAAGTAGTATAAATATGTAAGGATACTGTTACAGTAGTATTTCAACTTCCATACATAGTACTAAATCACCATAACTGTGTATTAAGAAAAGTAAAATAAAACAAACCCAGAAGAACAAGAAGATACAGGTATTTGTTTTACGTGTCAATTTTTGAAAACTATTCAATAAAAGTACTTCAAAAAATGACAATATTTTGAGAAATAAAAATTAAAGCATGGACCCTTAAACGATTGAAAGTTGCAAATAAATCAGAGTGTTAATTAACATATGAGATACCAAACTTTCAGCGGGTTTACAAACAGTATTTTTAAGCATAATTTTTAATGTTAGATAAAGATTTTTATTTCTATTTTGGTCTCACTGCAATTGTCAAGGTGATTTAATGTGATGCATCCTGCTTCATTAAATTCGTCATCAACATCATACAGACATCGCCACTCTTCACTGACCTTCCTAATTCCATAACCGCATGATATTGGTACACTGCGATTACTTTCTACAATAGAATTTAGTAAGGTCATCTATATTGATTAAACTATTCTTATTATTTCATGAAGATATTTTAACTACAATGAATCAAATCACATTATCAGAATGGTTATGCAACTGGTCAAAGACCCGTCACAATTAAGTAATTAAACATATAGTATTAAATACTTAATAGATCTTAAAGAATCCCTGCAATGAGGGTTAAACTATTCGCCAGCTATCATTGCGCTAGAGGAATAGCATTGAAGGAAGCCATTGTATTGACCAAACAGTACTATTGTTATAAATTTTAATACCATTTTGGTAAAATATTCATAAAATAGTGTTCTTATAATAGATCCAGACTTTGACAATTTACTTATGCCTTAAAAAAATGTGATCCTTGTCTGCAATGAAAAATATTGTAAATTTCAAGTAACAACGTACATACACTTTCCCGAACCATTTTATCCTAATAAATTTGAAACATTGCAATTTGGAAAATTAAAAAATAATTTAAAACTCAAACTCATTTTTTGTCATATATATTATCTTTTTTGTGTTAAACATACCTTTATAGCACTTTAATGGCCCAAACGTAATTCTGTTATTTGCAATATCGAAAGTGTCGTAGTAAGTCAATTTCAATTCAGCCTGGTTAAAGTGTATTTCAAACGTGTCTGTATTAGCCGTTATGCTGTTAATTAGTGATGAAATATGATGAAATATTGTTTTCAATGTGAAATTAAACTTTAAATTTTGAATTAAGCAAAGAGAATTAGAAACCAGTCAATGTTTACTTTTGGCCGTTCATAACACATCCAAATCAATCGTTAGAAAAGAAATAAGGAAAAATATTGAACACTTTTTCAGTTATTTATACTGTACAAATATCTAGATTCTCAACACATTTCAACACGCTCCTCAGCATATAAGTAACTATGATTTGATACATTTAAATATAATCATACAGAGCCAAATAAATAAAGCATTATCAAAATAAACATTCGTTTGAGGTTAAACTGACATTACAGCATTGTATTATTCCATTTTACATTTTCAAAGTCGTTTGTTAGTCATTAAAATGATTAGTTTCGAAAGTATCTATTTTATTTTCTTGTTTCCACAGAATTTTTATGCAAATTGATAAATCTTAAGCTTAAAAACACACTAACGAATCTTTTCCTTTGTTATAATTGATTTTAATATTCACAAAGTTCATGCAATATTCACTTTCACAAACGATTCCAAAATGTGAGCTAGATATACAGACAGACGAACAACTTCATTTCGTTTTTCAGTTCTGTTTTCCATTGGTAAAGTATAATGATATAAATACAATAAGACATGACGTGATTCAACTGTCTTTTATACAACAACAAAAATCAAGGACAAACAATAGATTTTCCCTGTTTTGGGTTTAAAAAAGTTCAATAAGGTTAATAGTTTCAATCATTTATTCAATTATTGACAGAAAAAATGCAAAAATTCTAAACACGATTTTATAACTAGACAGAGCCATGGGTTTGCATGTCAATGTTATGATTTGTGACGAAGTTTATAAATATTATATTTACAAATAGAAATTTATCAAATATCTAAATGTAAAAACCTTGAACCCTGTTAACCAAATCTTAAGCAAAATGTAAAGGACCAACATAACTTAACTTAATGGAATATCGTTTTAAAACTAGTATGTACGAGCAAACGTGTATTTACACAAGTATCTATAACCTTGACGTCAGTATTCACCTACTCAACAAAAAAGTTGAAGGACCATTGAAGGTATTCATGTACCAGAAATGAAGACAAATATACATGTATAGGATAAATGTAAGAGAACTTCAGCTTGCCAGATTAGGTTAACCATACAGGACCCCCAATTAAAGATAGATGAAAGGGAAATAACTGGGGAAAGTGAAAGACACAGCTTTGCTTTCACAGCGCTTCAGAAATCAAGATGGCGTCCAATATGGCCGCCGATTTCATGCAAAACAGGTATATATGTTATTCTGGTATATTTTAAAGCAAAGATTGTTATATATTAAACATATTACATGTATATAGTTTATTTTTGACAAGTTGCTATTTTCAATATTATCACTGTTCTATTTTAGAACATAAACTACATGTATCTACTAGAAGTTTCTTAACCGAAATATGTTAATTTTATTTATCTGTTTTTTATTTTACTAAATATGTGACTTAATGCAATTATTCTTTATTTTCATGTATTTTTATTGTTTTTAAGTTGTTTTTTTATTATTTCTAATATTACGGTGGATGAGGTTAAATAAAAAGGCACGTATAGTTATTTATATCGAATTACTGAAGGCTACCGAAATATACTGAAATTCTCTTAAGGTGACACAATAAAGAAACAAATTTGAATTAGTTATTTTAAGCAATGAAAATGATATAAACCTTATTTTGGGCGTTGAAGTTTATTTTGTTACGTAAATTTTAACTTAAATTAATATTTCCTGATCATACTATTCGCCACGCTTGGTGTTTAACATGTATGCATGCATGCATGTTTTAAGTGTTTATAATTAAAAACGATTGGACAAAAATATGTTTTATGCACTAATTCTTATTTGTTGATATTTTCTTGTTCTCGAGTAGTTCTTGTCTTTCTAAAAGTATAGTGGTCTGGGTAAAATAAAAAAAGGAAAATAATTCACATTTAAATATGTGTATGGTACCGAGATTTACCAGAATAATCCCAAAAATCTGGAAACAAAGTGATCTCTCGGAAGCATTAATCGCAACAAAATTACAAGAGAAGTGTTTGATTGAGTCTGTACATGAGGGATTATGAATACGTGCAACATCCCTCACGCCCCCTAGCACCCGCTTGAGCGGTGCTCAATTCTCAACACGTAATAGTGGTAGCATCAATGATGCCGAAGGATCAGAAAAATGTAATAACACAATGTCAAAATTTTATTTATGAAAAGAAACACAAAACGCAATTTTGTATTATTTATTATTTTGACATTACGTCACAATTGTGGCGTTCTAGCGCGTTGTGTATTTATATAAATGAATTTGAAAATTAAAAAAAAGAAGAAGAAAAATTTGATTTCGAAAAAAGCTTCAAATATTGTCAGAAAGCTTATTTTCAGCAAGTCTCCTTGTTATTGAGTAGGTCCAGTGAGGGACTCGAATAAAGCAGCAAGTCTAGAAAACGGTCGGCTTTCTAGTGGAGAGTTGAGCCTTAGCAACTGTCCGCTTCTTATTAAAGAAGCAAGTCTAAGAACGGTCCGCTTCCCAGAAAAGAAGCAATTCTAATAACGGTCCGCTTCCCAGTAAAGAAGCAAGTCCAAGAAGTGCAGCAAGTCTAAGAAGCGCAACAAGTCTAAGACGCGCAGCAAGTCTTAGAAGCGCAGCAAGTCTAAGAAGCGCAGCAAGTCTAAGAAGCGCAGCAAGTCTAAGACGCGCAGCAAGTCTTAGAAGGGCAGCAAGTCTAAGAAGCGCAGCAAGTCTTATAGTGCAGCAAGTCCAAGAAGCGCAGCAAGTCTAATAGTGCAGCAAGTCCAAGAAGTGCAGCAAGTCTAAGAAGCGTAATTCGGTAATTCGATACATGTGTAGTTTTGTTTTTAAGAAATGGAAAACAATATTAGAATTTTAGTAGCTTCTTGGAATATTTTTCTTATTGTTAATTAAACGTAGTAGTAAAATGTGCAAAAATAGGTATTTTTATTCAATATTTTGAAAATTTTAAGACAAAAACCTGAAAAGTTATCTATTTCATTGTTATTTAATCATGATAATTTCTGAAATGTGTGCACACTTTTTAACCAAAAACGTCATAATATTTGCTGAAAGATTTACCATAATAAGATATACTCGTATACCTGTTTTGCATTAAAAACGGCGGCCATATTGGACGCCATCTTGGATTCTGAAGCGTTGTGAAAGCAAAATTTTGTAAGATTTAGGTTTTTGTAAAGTAGAGACAATTTCTTGCTCTGGTGTAAGATTCAGATTGGGACAAAATATTTGATTAAATGGCCCTTGGCTCTTAAGCTATAGAACTTAATATAAATTCAACTGGCAGTTTAGGTTAAACTCGCACGGTTTGACGGACAGACATCCAGGCAGCCGGACGATTCAATAACTTTATGCCCGAGGCATAATAAAAAGATCATTTTAAATTCATAATTAAAATGAACTAAATGAACTACTTTATGAACCAGACAAAATATGTGTAGGATACATACCTGAACATATCGTATGTACCATTCGACAGTGTAAAATTAAAATCAAGATGTTCAAAGTTGTTGCCTGAATTATTAAGCACATGATTTACTTTATCTCTTCTGGGTTCTTGCGTAAACTAAAAAGTATAAAAGCACGAAGAGGGGTATTTAAGCATCAACGCTTTTTTCATGTTAAGTAAATAAACTATCAAATATTAATGATTGTCTCGATAACACACATGTCTGTTTAAAAATCAGCAAAATATAATCTGATATGTGAAACAACAAATGTTTTAATTTTATGTGATTTGAAGGTAACAAGAAACATTTAAAATTGCATGTTGCATAATTGCATGGTTATGTTCCAGCTTTGTGACCGGATCATGGCTTAATTGTTGTCGGGTACATTATTTAAAGCGGTGTTTGTTCTGTTCTGAATGAAAACCTAAAAAGTCATATTTTATGGATAAACACTACAGTGTAACTAACTTAATTTGTTTGAAATTTGAATATATAAATCCTACAATACAGACAGATATCAGCGACAAGTGGGCAATAATGGCCTTGTTTTCGGTAGCCTGGTTAAAGTCCGGTTGGTAATTAATTGTTGTAAGTACTGTCTTAGAAACAAATTTTCGCAAATTATATATGTACTTGTAAGTCTTTCACAAGAATTAACTCGTTTTCTTTGTCTTAAATATTAAAAATAACTTTCCACGCCTCGGTTTAGGAATGACATAAATTATAAGGGATATTAGGAAATGAACTCATAAATTAAAAAAAAACTTCAATAGTCCCCTTAGATGGGCTTTAGTCGAAA